TTCCATCCTTTAACTTTGAGCCTATTTTTATCTTTTGTAGCTAAATGTGTTTCCTGGAGACAGCAAAAGGTTGGGTTTTGTTTCTTAATCCAGGCTGCCACTCTGTGTCTTTTTATTGAAGAGTTTAGTCCATTTACATTTAGAGTTAATATTGATATGTTAACATCTGTATTTGCCATTGTGTTTGTCTTTCCTTTGATTTTATTTATTTATTCTTTTAATAACTTTTTTTTTTTTTTGGCCTTCTTTCATTGTTATTTGTCCCTCTGAGGTTCTGGCTTTAGGACTCCTTGTAGTATTTTTTGGAGTGGGGGTTTAGTTGCAATGAAATTCCGGAGTTTCTGTTTGTCTGGGAAGGTCCATATTCTTTCTTCAAAAAGGAAGGAGAGCTTTGCGGGATAGAGTATTCTTGGTTGGCATCTGTTTTCTTGGAGTCTGTTGACTATGTCCCTCCACTCTCTCCTTGCCCGTAGTGTTTCTTCGGAGAAGTCTGATGTCAGCCTGATTGGTTTTCCTTTGAATGTTATCTGTTTCTTCCCTCTTGCCAGCTTCATTATTTTTTCCTTGTCCTGGATTCTTGGGAGCTTTACTATTATGTGTCTTGCTGTATTTTTCCTTTCGTCGTGGAAGTTTGGTGTTCTTCTTGCTTCTTGTATATCAATTTTCAGCTCCTTCTTCACATTTGGGAAGTTCTCTTCAATTATCTCTTTGAATATTTTCTCTGTTCCTACATCTCTCTCCTCTCCTTCTGGTATTCCTATAACTCTTATATTTCCTTTCCTCATGGAGTCAGATAGTTCCCGAAGTCTTTCTTCGTTCTTTTTCCTTCGTACTTCTCTTTCCTTTTCTGTTTTGGTTCTTTTTATTTCTGTGTCTTCAAGATTACTTATTCGTTCTTCCATTTCATCTATTCTGCTTTCATTGCTTTTCCCAGAATTCTTTAGTTCTTCCATTAATTCTTTGATCGCCTGCATTTCTTTTACTTCCCTCTTTAGGGACTCAATTTCTTTCTTCTGACCATTGTTTTCCCTCTCTAGGGACTCAATTGCATTCATCTGATCGTTGATTATTTTTCCCTTATCATTGTTTTCCTTTATGACTTCTGTCAGTTTTTTAATCACGGCAATTTTAAATTCTCTTTCTGGAAGGCTCAGAAATTCTTCCAAGTTATTGTCTTTGCAATCTGGGGGCTGGCTTTCTTTTTGTGGTGTGCTTTTTCTCTGGAGAGTTGCTAGGTTGCGTGTGGTTCTTCTCCTCCCTACTGTCTGTTTTCTAATTTGCCGTATGCGTTGGGACACTGTGTTGTTGGGACTGGCCGGCATCTTGGGTGGGCTTCTCTGTTCCCCTCTGGTTCTTCCAGGAGTCATCTGTCAGTTTCAAGCAGCCGGGCGGCCGGGGCTGTGTGCTGGTGCTGGTCTCCTCCTGGGGGGCGGGGCTCTCTTTAATGGCGCCTGGAGCTCACCTCCGCGGCGGATCCTGCAGGGTTCGCCTCAGCTCCCGTTCACGGGGTGTGGTGGCTGCAATAGTTCCTTTCCACTCACAGTCCCGCTTGCTGTGTCCGTTTTTCTTGTTGGCCGTTTTGGTTTGTTGTTTTCCTCCTCTCTGCGGGTCGGAGAGTGCCGCCTCTGTGGGCGGGGGAGGGGAGCAGGGTTCTGCGCTTCCCTCCCTTCTCGTCCTCTTTTATGGCAGCTTTCTTCTTCGGGCAGTTTGCTGGAGTCGTCCGTTTATCTTCCGTGTCCCAGTTCTCACTGGGACCTGCCGCTTTTCCTCCCTATTAACTTTTTTTAATGGGAGATCTTACTCGCAGCGTCTCCTCGCCGCCATGTTGCTCCGCCCTCTCTGATTTCTTATTCTTAATTCTTGTTTTCATCATTCCATGACCCCACCTTTAAGGAAAGACTTACTTCCAGCAGGTGGGAAACAGCTTCCTCTCTCTCTCTCTCTCTGTTCCTTACAAGCATATTTATAGCTATGACAGGCTCCCCAGAGACCACTCGCAGGGACTTGGCATGGGATGTTTCAGAAAAGACCATTGAGAACTTCAATGATGCCCTCCAAATTGCTGGTCAGGTGAGGGCACCTCTGACACCTTCCTGACTCCAGCCAAGGTCTAAGACCACCTCCATCAAGGAGGTGAGTTGGGCATAGACCCATTCTGCCTGCTGGGGGGATCAGCTGCCGTTAGAAGGCAAGATAACCGGAGTGGTGGTGAGTGGGTTGATCTTTCCCAGAACAGAATGCCAGAGGCCCTTTCAGGGTTGGGATGAGAGGACTATCCACATGTATGTATGTTGCCCTTTGTGGCAAGAAAAGGGTGATGAGCAGCTAACTCCCTGCTTCCCACACAGCACTTGGTGGATTGGTCATCAGTGTCCGGAAGGATCTGGATCTGGGCGCCCACGTTGATGAAGTGATGGACATCACACAGGAGGCAGTGTCCATCAAGGCCTACCACACTCTCTGGGTGCTCTTGAACTGTTGGCACACAAAGAGCAAGGGAAACAGAGTGGGAGCTAGTAGGGGTCACGGTGGGCTGAAGGAGTGAATTTTTTTTTTAAAGAATTATTTATGCATACAAGAGCTGGGGTACAGGCCAGGGGTGTGGTAGGTGAGAGGATTCACCAGAGACAGGGGAGAACAGAACAGGTGGATCTATTGAAATACACTACTGAGGGGAGCAGTGGGCGAGACAGGAGAGGTCTTCTGCACCATGTGGGTAGCTCCCTTGCCGGGGATTGAATCTGTGCTGCAGTGTCTGTGGATAGCTTCAGTGTTGCATCTTAACCCCTTGTGCCATCAGGGAGGCACTGAAGGAGTGAATCTTGCGCCAGAGATGTCCACGGAACGTTAACTCACTAGACTTTTCTTGGAAAGGTGGGTGACTCTCCTCAGGCTCCTGTTCCCATTGTCCAGAGAGGGCACAGTTAGAAAAAACTCTCCTGTCCATTCAGTTATGTTATGCAAGTAATTTCCTGATGACCCTGAATGCCAAGTGTGTGCTAGGCCCTCGGAATACCAAGACAGCTAAGACCAAGCCTGAGGGCTTGTCCCGCCTTCCTCCCCGAGCTGAGGCCTGTGCGTTGTGTCTCCCTGGGCACAGGAGGCAGAGCAAGCTCTGGTCATTGCCGGCCACCTCTTCTTCCTCATTGCACCATCCAAACTCAAGAACCAAGTGAACCAGTTAGTCCGCTGGCTGATGATGTTATTCACCCATGTGACACCTTTCTACATCTCCCAGGTCAGCAGGGTGGGGGTGAGACTGTTGCCTGAAATCATTGCTGTGAAGTGAATTCAAAGGTTCATCAAAAGAGCAGTCTATTAAGGAGACTATTCAGAGCCAAACTGAGGACCCAGGCCTGGGAGACTATGAGAATATGTCTCTATGGTTTACTCTCAGTTTCCTTAGGTAGGTTACATGCAGAGAGACCACATAATTATTATTTAACAAAGAAAAAAATACACTTACTTAATTTCAATCATTTTCTGTTAACCAGTGTAAGTTGGTTCTAATTTTCTTAGCTAATGATAAAGAATAAGTCCTTTTTTAAGTGCAAAGTGATCTCTCTCTTTATAGATTTATTTATTTAATCATACAATAACTGGGGTGTGCGAGGATTCACCAGAGAGAGTAGGGAGCAGAACAGCAGATCTGAGCAGCGGACGAGATAGGAGAGTTCTGCTGCGCCATGTGGGTAGCTGCCTGGTGGGCCGGGAATGGAACTCATGCTGCAGAGGCTGCAGATAGTTTCACAGTGCTGTGTCTTAACCCCTCGTACCACCAGAGAGGACCCTCTTTATTATTTTTTTATTTCTTTATTTTTTTGCAAAGTGATCTCTTTATCTTACAAAGCCAACTTAGAGCTGTCTGTGTGGAAGATGGATAGCTGACTTTCTTATTCTAGAACATGCCCCTGTAGATGCAGTAAGGTGCAGTTAGGCCATTATCTCAGGCTCTTTCTTTCAGCAACTAGTAGCATGATGGGTGGACTTGGTCTGTGGAATTTTCTTCTTCTCACCTCAGGCTTTCCTCACAGCAAACAGATGTTATTGTTTTGCTGACTGCAACCTCTGAGATGACTCTGTGGTATGGTCACAGAGGAAGCTATGGTTCTAGTAGAATGTAGAATTTTCTCTGTTTTTTAGTCCACAGTTGGACATTTAACTGTGGAAATTTTAGTCCACAGTTGCGGTCCGTATTTATTGTTATAAATAGTTCATGCTGCAGTTGGCAAAGGATGACCTATAGGCCAAATCCGGCCTTAAATTTGTTTGATAAATAATATTCTACGGGAACTCAGTCACACCCATTAGCTGCTTTGCTTTTCTCTGATTTCTTTGTATCTGACCTTAGACCTAGATTATCAGGTTCATAAGATTGGATCAAGCCCACCTGGGGAATCTCCCCATTTTAAGCTCAGCTGATTTGGGGCCTTAAGTATAGCTGCAAAATGCCTTCACATCTACCCCTACACCAGTGCTTGATTGAATAACCAAGAGGAAAGCAAGAGTGAAATCCTGCACTCCACCATTATCATGGTCCAGGCAGACCTCAGACTTCTGCGCAGAGAGACAGGACGCCTGGGCTGGGAGGGGGCTTGCTTGCTTGACACCTCAGGGTCGTGTAAAACACAGAGGGAAGGCTGTTCGGAATGAGAAGTGAGGCTCCCCAACTGGCCCCAGGCTGCTGCCTATGGGTTACATTGGGATTCTTGAAAGCCTGAGGAGGGTTTGAGGAGCAGACGGGTGGTTTCTACCTATTTTCTGAGGCTTCTCTGTGGAAAGTGCTGGGGTGTCCTACTGGGATGTGGTGTTCTAGAGGATACTATTTCTGTCTCCTGAGAGTTCAAATTGCAGAGAAGCCCTCAAGCGTGTCTGGCACGAGGCTCAAGAAGCCGCCTTTCTACCAAGTTCTACAGCTGGGGCTGCAGGCAGCAGTGTCAGCTGCCAACTCCAAGTTATGCAAGATGGGGTGGGGTGGGGTAGGGGGGCAGGTGCTGTAGGTGCCAAGTGGTGGACAATGCATCATCCCTAAAAGCAAAGTCCTCAATCTTCAGAAGGTTAATGGAGAGTGGGGATCTTGAAGGATGGACCCTAAGAACTTGTGGAACTTGTTCCTGGCTTTCCCAGGCACGAGACCTTTCCAGAGCTCAGATCCCCACCGCCCAACACTCCCGCCAAAGTCCAGCCTCTTGATGTAAAGTGTGGACAAGTAAACACTTCAGCTTCTCTAAGAGGTTGGCAGAAGCCAAAATGGGTTGGATTCTGGGGCAGCATAGAGAGTGGTCAGGTTCAATCACGGGTGCTTTGTCACCGCCGGGACCCTGCTGAAGAGTCACACTTGGACTTGGGGACCAGAGATCCGAGTCCTTGAAGACACCCCACCCAACTCTGCTACTCTGCGTCCTTACCTGGAACCCCAGTGGTCACCCCAACGGTCCCTGCCGTGCTCCCTCTCTCACCCTGATCTGTGACCCCACAGGTGAGGAAGGCCCTGCTGAGCTTCATCGAGTGCTGGGGCAGCACGACCACCTGGCCCAGCCCCAGAGCAGCATCATCCTCGATTACGTGGTCAAGCTCAGCAAATGTGACTCCTCTGTTAGCATAGGTGTGGGTGGGAGGGTGGAGGGCAACAGAGTGGGTCCTGAGGCTTAGAGGAGGGAGCAAGAAGAAGGCAGAGTTGGGAGCAGGAGGGAAATGAGAGGAGGGTATGGCTGGTGCGAGGGTGGGGAGGGACTTTGGCCTCCCCTGAGCAGTGAGCCTGGGAGGTCTGAACCAGACTCAGCGGGCACTGGTTTCAGAATTAACACCTCTTCTTATTCCAGAATGAAGTGGACATCCGAATACTGTGTTCAAAGATTCTCCAGATGGTACAAGCAGCCAGGGGCAAAGAGGCTGTCCATTTCCTCCGCCCTTGCTCCTTGTTACCCCCCCAGCCCCTAGTTCACCCCTCCTGCATCCAGCCTCTTCAGCTTTCTCTTCTCCCCCTCCCCCACTCCAGAAATGCCCACTCGCGTGCCCAGGCTCCTCTGGAGGGTGTCTCAGGGCCAGGAGAGGGCCTCTCCCGGGGAGGCTGGAGACTGCTCTGGAGTCTTCTCATCCCCTTTATAGCTCTAAAATGTGTCAATGGCTGTCTGGGCTGCAGTTTTCCCATCTGTCCGCGAGGGGGGGAACGTGCATCCCGCCTGCCACAGGAGCCTCTGAGGGTTCTTGAAGGCTGGAGGAGCTGATGTGTGGGTCAGAGTCTAGGTAAGGGCTTAAGGGAGGAGCACAGCTGGGATTCCCTCTCCGTCCTGGAGTCACAGCTGCTCTCCTCCCAGCAGGCCGGGCCTCCTGACCCTTCCCAGGGCTTCTGTCCTGGGATGTTCCCCTGTGAATTCCAAATTTCAGGAAACCCTCTCTCTAAGCAAGTCCTTCTGGCTGTGATTTTTATCAGGACCTTGTTTGTAGTTTACCACGACGGAGTGGTGGTGCTGCTGGTGGTGGTGGTGGTGGAGGACGTGGTGTGTCTGTCTGTGTCTGTGGCCTGCAGGCCTCAAATGCCCTTGCAGGAAAGAAGACAAGGTTGTGGCTTGGAGAACGTGGGCCCGGGCTTATCTAGGCTTGCCAATGAAACCCTTGCACATCCCTGCCAGGTCTCCTTGCCAAGACTGGTCACCGTAATGTGTGAGCCCAGCAGTGTCTTGGCCTTTGTGCCACTGTGTGAGACAGTCTTGGAAATGGCTCTGAAGGCCCAGTCCCAGGGCAAGACCCCCTACCTCAGCGGCTTTCATCTCACACGTAAGTGAAAAGTGGAGCACACGGGGATGGGTGCGGCTGTGAGTGTGCAGGCTGCGGTAGGAGGGGTGCCGGGCTAGGATGCAGCGGAGGCTCTGCAGGGCTGGGACAGAGGAGAAGGTGCGATCTGGGATGGGGGTGCAGCCAGAACCGAGGCCGGGATGGGCCAGGCCAGGCCAGGGGTTGGGACAGCAGCATCCCACAGATGACATGTGGGACATTCCAAACACAATTCCTTCTTGCCTGTCGTCTTTCTTTAACACACTAGTCAGGATGTAAACACGGTGATATGAACTGGAAAGCTATGAGTACGCGGACAAACCTGTCTCTTGATTCTTCCCAAGCTCCGACTCTACTCACCCCATCCATGACTGCTAGGGTTGGGGTGAGGATGTCTGCTCAGGCCTTAAGTCAAAACGTCACAAGCCCTAAATGTCGGCGCCTCTTCTCCTCTCCACTTTGCTCTCCTCCTCCTCTAAGTACTGCCGGGGGCTGCCGTGGGGGGCTGGAGGCTGCGTGTGCTAGAACTGACCCAAACCGTGTCCTTTGATGTTACCCTCTCTTTCTCTTAGCCACCCAGTTTGTAACCCCACAGAACCTCCTGTCCTGCCTCGTGGTAAGTGACGCTGGAATGAATAGTACATCTCTCTCCCTCCGTCCATGCGTCCATCCCTCCATGCAACCAGCATTCCGCAAACCCTCGAGTCGTGCTCTGTTCTAGGCACTACGCTGGCTGTGGTATAAGGAGGTAGGGCCAAGGATCCAGGGGGCTCCAGAGAAAGGGAATCCATGCCACAGAGCTTGGAGGAGGGAACTGGCAGCACACTGGTGAGGCCTGGGGATGGGGGAGGCGTGAGCATGGGGAAGGCTTGACCTTAAGCAAATTAAAACTGGGACCTGAATACAAGTTTCTTGATTTCTCATCTGTTTTCCTGGCACTGAGCAGCACTGGTTTGGGGCGGTGATGGGGTTGTCCCAGGAAACAGGTCTCATTCCCAAGACTGATTACGGAAATGGGATCGGAATCCAAATGCTAGGGGACGGGGGGAGGCCTGCACTGGAGTTGGGGAATGACTTGTCCTGTGGGACTGGATGAGCGGCTTTCTCAGAGGTCACCCACCAGCTAGGTTGGCTCAGGACCATCCTGGTTTTAGCAGCGAAAATTCAGGGTCTGGAAAACGCCTCAGTGCCAGGCAAGCTGAGAGCATCGGGAAGATGTGGTCTTTTGCGGGCTGGGGAGGCTGGTGCCTTAGAGCAGATTTTGCAGAAGCTGAGCCTGAGGTGGGGGATCTTGTCCAGGAATTGAGCAGGCGGGGCACTCTCTAGAGAAGCCAAAATAGAGCAGAGCCAGGAAGGAAGAGGAATGGGAGAGGAAGAGGCTGAGCAAGAGGCTTCTCCACCTGAGCCGGTTGCACTGCAGAGCCTGTTCTGCCTGGAGTCAAGTGCATATGTGTGAGGGGCCTTCAGACCCACGTCCCACCGCCCACCGATGATCTCTGCCTCCCTGCCAGGGTTGGTGTGGAGCAGGGAGGGAAGACAGAAGGAGGTTACTCCGGGCAAGGAGATCGCAGAGAGGCTGCAGGCTGCAGGGGAACTGTTCTTGCAGGGTCTGCAGCCAGTGAAAGGAGGGCTCCTGTCATCTGGGGCCAGGCGCCTCACCAGCTAGAGGGGTAGAAGGTGCCCATAGGGAGGGGCTTTTAGCAGGTGCGTGGAAACCCGGGGAGACTTTCATGGAACAGCGGGGGTATCCTGTTTGCCTCACTCCCATGTCATGCCCTGTCAGCAGGGTTTGATCTTGGAGATGCGAGGTTGGGGCAAGTCAGGAGCTAGCCAGAGACACACACACAGGAAATGCATGGAGATGAGGCTCTGAAGGAAAGAAATAGGAAAGTGAGCATGAGAGAAACCTCGGAGGTCAGGGAAGGCTCACTAGCCACGATCTCAAAGATGAGAACCTTGGAGCTAAGACATTTTAAAGAGCCAGGGAAAGATTGTTCCAGGCAGACAATACAGGAAATGCAGGCACCTGGAGGCGTAGGAGAGCGGAGAATGCAGACATGGGTGTTTCAAGGCAGAGAGGGCAATGCTGAGTAAGCAAGAATTAAGACCACTGAAATGCAGAGGCAGGAGAGACCCAGGTTATATAAAAGTACTTTTTCAATTATGCAATCTTGATTTGAAAACTTTGCAAATTTTAGGACCTGTTTTTAATTCCTAGCTGGAAGTGACAAGTATGTAGATCAGGAAAAGTTCCTAGAGGATGATCCCTGCCCTGAGAAGCCGAGAAATTAGACAGGCAACTCTCTGTCCCTGAGCTGTAAGGTCACGGCCTTATCTCCCTCCCCCCCACCCCAAGCAAGAGGGACAGGGTGGAGGAAGGAGAGGTGGGGGCGGGTGTGGCTGCATTTCTGAAGCCAGCCCGGCTGTTCCTAACCTCATGCCCAGCCAAGCAAGACCCCTCGCTCCCACCTCCCTAGACTTTCCTGTATAAATTCTTCGGCTTCACCCTGTGGTCCTCAAGTGACAAGACATTGGTGCAGATGATGATCACCGCCTTGGTCCTGACCACCCACGAGGACTTGGCAGAGCGGGAGGTGAGGTGGAGGCCGCCCGAAAGGGAGGGACATGAAAAAGAAACTATTGCTATTGAAATACCATTGTTTTATACCCCGTCTCGTGTTTTTGACAGTGTCGGGTGGGGGACACTTTTGTTCTTAGAGGCAGGGTGGCAGGGTGGCCGAAAGCCTGGGCCTGGCACACTGGGTTGGAAACCCAGCTTTGCTCCTCGCTGACTGTGTTTCCTTGGGCAAGATGCTGACGCTGTCTCTCTGTGTCCCATGTTTTCTTCTGTAAAATGAGGTTGTGATTCCTCCCTCATAGGCTAGTTTCTAAACTATTTTTCATTTTGAAATAATTTCACATTTATTGAAAAGAGAACCTGTAGAGTCTATTCTTTATCCAGGTTCCCAGATGTTAACCTTTCCCGATTCCCTCTCTCATTTTGTGAAAAGTTCCTGATTTTCATTTACCACTAAATGTGTATAAATGTGTGTAAATGCACGTGATGTGTATTATCTAAAAATAAAGATACTCTGGATGGAACCAGCACCATGATCAGAATCAGGAAGTTAACGTCGCTGCCGTGCTATTCTCTAGTTTGTGCACCTGATTAGAAATTTTTCGGTGGTCTCAGTCATGTTCTTTAGAGCAAAGGAACATTTTTGTTCTCTGTTCTGGGATCCAGTCCAGAACCACACGGCACTTTGCTTGTCTCGTTTCTCTTCATTCGTCTTTCATCTGGAGCACTAGCTCAGCCTTTATCTTCCGTGAACTTGACATTTTTTTACTTTCCACACCAGTCCTACTGGGGTTGTCTCCTATTTCTTCATGATTAGCTCCAGATCTGCACTTGGGGTGGGCGGGAACCCCACATCAGTGCTGTGTGTCAGGACAGGAGTTTGAGGATTAACAACGTTGAAAGCACTTAGAACCACGCCTGGCACATGATGCCCTCGAAGTGCTGGTTGCTGGTGGAGCTGGTGCCAGCGCTCTCAGGCCTCCCCTCTACCCCCAAGATCCAAGACCTCGGCCCTGCCAGATTCTCAGAGCATCTGTCACCATGACGGCTTGCACCCTAAGCTGCCAACAGCATCCCTGGGGAGACTGCAGGGAAGAAAGCAGCTAACCCTTCCGAGAGCTGAGCCGTGCCCTGAGACACACAGTGGGTGCCTGGGCTGGTGCAGACGGAGGTGTGAAGCCCCTCCCATTTGACATCATATTCCGAGTCAGACTCAGGAGCAAGAACTTTAGGGGCTTGTCTAGAAACAGTGAAGGGCCTGCTTGGCCTGGAATGCAGCGCTCCTTACAGTGAAGGACACGGGAGCCCTCTGTCAGTACTGGGGTCACCCTGGATACAAGGGGTGAAGTTAAGAGATCGTGGCGTGCCCAGGATGGTTCTCAGACCTCTGGCCCGTGGGAGGATAATGGTATCTTTTGCTGAGACCAGGAGCTCAGGACAAATGGCGGAGGGGGATGATGGGTTCATATTTTTTGACCGGAAAGGGTGGGGCACCCCGCATCGCCGGGTGGAGATGTCTGGTGTCATTATTCTGGAGCTCAGAGCTGGGCTGAGTGCCAGATCTGGGAACCATTGGATTTACTCTGCCTGTAACACGAGGAGTGTGTTCAAAGCTCAGAGCTCTAGTGTGAGGATCAATGAGAGAAAACGTTCAAAGCTGGTATTAATTTTCTGATGATGTAGGTGATGTGGTGATGCTGGTGAGGAGGGGGAGCAGGGGTAAGGACCGTGATGACTGCAAGCCTATGGCTAGGGGAGGGCATGGAAATAGGGACAGACTAGAATGCCTCTGATTCTCAGCACAATCTTGCCTTCTAGCTGAGCAAAATATCCCCTTGGGGCCTCCCTGGTAGCTCAAGGGGTTAAGCACAGACTGTGTGGCTACCTGCAGCCTCCACATGAGTTTGATCCCTGGCCAGGGAGCAACCCACATGGCGCTGCAGACCTCTCCTGACTCGCCCGCTGCTCCCCTCAGCAGTGTATTTCGTCAGTCTGCCTGTTCTGTTCCCCACTCTGTCTCTGGTGAATCCTCTCACCCCCCCCCAAATCTCTGGCCTGTACCCCAGCTCTTGTATGCATAAATAAATAAATCTTTTTAAAATAAATCCCCTTCATCTACTTGGAGGCCAAATGTCTAAGAGTGCTACCAACACTTCTTCCTTTCTTGAGGACTTGTGTCCTGGAGCCACTGTCACTGTCCCCAGTTTCCCTCCACTCTGCCTCCTTTTACTGCAGAGTCTTAGTGGCAGCTCCTCTCACCCAAATGAGCAGGTTGGAAAACAGCTGGCGCTGTGTCTCTGTGCTGGGGATTCTTGCATCTCTGTGCTGGGGGTTCCTTTAGTTCTGTGCCCAGTTATTCTTGTTAGGTCAACCCCAAGAAGAGGCTTGGCTCACACTTCAGTCCAAAGAGCCTTGTACGAGGCAGAGGGATTTAAGGTAAAAGACTGATCCTGCCAGAAAAGGCAGCATCCCCAGGTTTCCTGTGCTCTGGGCTCCCACCAGGTTGTCAATTCCCAGGTCCACACTTCGCCCCAGCTTTCAGATGCACCTGACATTTCTAGTTAGTTGTCCTGCCACTGAGTCACACACAACACATCCAGGAACTCACTGCTTTTTCTTTCCCCAGCCCCAGACAGGTCACCTTTTCCACCTGCCCACTTTGCTAAGAGTTGCTGCTGTTTCCTGTTCTCCTGGACTAGAAACGCTGGCGCTATCTGTAAATCTCCCTTTTCTCCACCCATTCTCTGACTGGCCACGCGAGAACATGCTTGGTTTGTTCGTCTCCTCTTCTCTCCTCAGAGCAACCCTTCTCTGGGTTCCTCATGCATATACATATTTTCTACTGTGTGATGTCGCGTTTGGAAATCCCCAGATTGTGCAAATCTGTTTCATAATCTTGGCCACTTTATTCCTTTTTTAAAGATTTATTTATCCATGCATACAAGAACCAGGGTACAGGTCAGAGGTATGGGGGTGAGAGGATTCACCAGAGACAGAGTGGGGAGCAGAACAGGCAGATGCACTGAAATACACTGCTGAGGGGAACAGTGGGCAAGACAGGAGAGGTCTGCTGCGCCATGTGGGTCACCTCCCTGGCTGGGGATCAAACTCGTGCTGCAGAGGCTGCGGACAGCTTCATAGTGCTGACGTTTAACACTTTGCACCACCAGACAGGCCGCTAGTTTACTTTTCTACTGGTTACTGAATTGGTTTGATTTTCTTTATGGTCAAGCCTTTCTCGGTATAGTTCTGATAAGGATGAGGAGAAGTATTTTGACAGGATTACCCCATGTTTGGAGCAGTCTGGGAGTCCCAGTTGCCCAAGTGAGGATCGTTTTGCTCTAGAGGTAGATTGATGGCGAGCACTTTATTCCAGGGAAAGTTGCCTTTCTCTTTCCTCCCTTGTTAGTTTCTACTGAGCTAAGTTGGTCAGCTAAGTTTCTTTGCAGGTTGATATGGTTACAGGGAGGGCCACTTAGTTCATTAAAAGGTTAGAAGCAGAAATCCTTCTAGCTTTTGTGAATCAGCTCCCCTGCACCCTGCCAAGCAGCCCTCCACCCTCCCTGGCACTAGCCAGTCTTCAGTCTGGCTGCCCCCTGGGCAGAGCCTAGAATGAGCTCGGCTTAGGGAGTGGTGATGGAGGGTGGCTGAGTCATCAGGGAACTCCTAGTCCACTAGGACAAACCACATGTCAGGCAGACATTCATGCCCTGGTGAAAGCCACAGAGGAATCATTCAAGTCCTAAACTGCAGAGTTTAGGACTGTGACGTTGGGGTTCCCTTTGCTCCACCCCTTAGGCCTGTGGAGGAGCCCTGACCAAGTGTACTAAGGTGATTGTCGGCTTGTCACTCACGGAGGCCTTCCGGCACACCACCCTCAGCGACCACATCCACGTATTGAAGAAACGTGCAAGTACCTGGTGAGTGAGCCTGAAGGAGCCAGAGCACAAAGTCCCTGCTAGTGCCTCACTGGCAGGCAATCCTCATTCCTTATCATCAGTAAACTCAGAGCCCACATTGGAGATCCCAGTTCTTGGGCCTCCTTGTCTGATCCTCCTGGCATCCATCCTCTGCCTTTAGGGCTCAGGGAGGTCATGCAAGGTCAGGGGATGGCCTGAGGCCTGCCCTTGTGAGGGCTGTAGGAAGGGCTGTCCCCAGGGCCAGGGCTTCAGTGAGATGCCATGGAATTTAGTCTGTGGCTCGTTGCAAGTCAAGCGCAGGGCAAGATTAGGAATCCTTGTCCAACAGTAAACATTTAAAGGCTAAGCAAGTGGGTTCGGGACTAACAGGAATAATTCTAATATGAATTGTGAGGCTTATTGCCTGACACAGGTAGAACGTTTTACAGTGGACAAAACGCTTTTTTACCCATTATCCCATTGGAGCTTCACAGTTCTGTGAGGGAGGTTGCACAGGTTTAACTTCAGCTCACGAGCAAACTGAAGGTTCTAAACTGGGTCACCTGGGTCACCTGCTCCACAGTCGAAGCCCTTTACGGGCTTCCTCCTGAGTCTGCACTGCTGCTGGCTGGTGTGCCCCAGCGTGCAGGTTGAAGCTGGCTGAAGATGCCATGGTTCGACCATGGACAGGCTGAGCGGCCACGGCTGCAAAAAGGGTCTTTAGCTAAGAGCCCAGTAGCCCCAGCTCCCGGTCAGCGCCACCCCTGTTTGACCCCACAGGTGGGCACAGGCAAATTGCAGCTCGTGGGGGACTTACTGTCCCAGAGCTTTGACTTCCTGAAGAGCCCCCAGTTCTTCCTAAGGGCAGCTGCACTCAACTTCATAGGTAAGGCGACCCTGCCCCTCTCTCCAGCAGGGGGGCCCTCCTGGCCCAGCTGCTAAAGGGCTAAGTCAGAATCACAGTACCATGAGGCAATTCACTCCCTTTCCTAACTCTGGACTAACTGTGATCAGGCCCAGGGAGGAAGAGGGGGCTATATGCCTTTGCCCCAGCTCTGCATGTCTGGGGTCTCCCATCTGTCTGTGCTCTGCTTTGTGGGGAGAAGAATCAGAGACATTTGAGAGGGGAAAAACTACTGCTTCCTCTGGAACCCCGTGAAGTTTTCAAAGTATGCTGTTTCAAACTACAACAGTAGTAGATGTACAAGTTAGAAAACCTAAAACATTCAGACTAAAAAAAAAGAAGAAATAATGCCAGAAATTCCAATTTCATTTGGAATGAACCACTGTTAACATTATAGAGTTTTTCCCCTAAGAATATATCTCCTCTGTCCCCTCTCACCCACACCCTCATATTCTTTTCCTCATGCATAGCATTTTTTTCAAACTGCAAAATTTGGTATGGTTCTTTGGCCTTACTGCATCACAACCACATAGATCACATACTTTTAAACATTCTTTTTAATAGTTGTGTAATATTAATTCCATTGGATGGATGGATTTATGCATCAGTCCTTTTCAAATATGAAGGCATCGTTTCTTTTAAGCCAGTGCACAGTGACTAAACCTCTGTGCATCATCAGGATTATTTTGTTAATATAAATTCTTTAACAAATAGAATTTCTGGGTCCAAATGGAATGGATTTCTGTGTTTATTGCCAAATTACCCTCTGAGTCATTTCTTATTGTCCTCTGTACTGTCTGCAAGTATCCATTTCTCCAGACATTTGTTGGCTCTGGGTAATGTTTTAAAAACCATTACCGATTTGATAGCTAAAAAGAGTAGCTGCTTGTTTTGTTCATATTTTTTTAATGAGCAGTGGCGTTAAATATTTTTACTCATTTTTATTGCCAGTACATACTTTATTTTTGCAAAAGAGTTGCCTTATGTCCATTGTCGATCTTTAATTGGTGTAGGAACCCCATGAAGTTTAGCATCGTGGGCTCATGTGCTACTTCTCACCTACTAACAAAATTTTCGGGGCCACTTCTGCTCTGAGGGCTGTTCTTTGATGATGACACTCCTATCTAGGTCCAAGGCAGTTCTTAGATACACATTCCTTGCTAGAAATGGTTTGCAAATATCCTTGCTCATTCATGAGCCTGGGGAAGGGGGCAGCCGAAGGCCCAGGACTTCTGGACGGACTTTATACCTTTTACATTTAGGGTTCATGGTGAAGAGGCTAAACATGAAACTCATCCACCCCAATGATGTGCAGCTCTTGCGGAGTGGTGAGTCTCAGCCCCGTACCTCGGTGGGTTCCCCGGGGGTTGGGGCGAGGTAGAAAGGAGGATGGGAAATCATAAGGACACGTTTCATTATTTTAAGAAAAATTTATTTTCACCATTATAAATGTTATCAAAGTAGACAATAACGAAAAGTTGGAGGAAGAAAACAACTTCTCTGTTGTCGCGCTAGTTGGATAAAAACTGCCAGCACAGAGGCAGGTGCTAAGGCTGGTGATGCCCCCGGTGGTCAGACACAGTCCCTGCCCCCTGAAGAACTAGCAGCTTTGTATTCTTTTTGATTGTATTAAAATATCTTCAGATTAATTCATATGTAGAGGACCTACATGACTATACTTTCTTCGCAAAATAGCAATGAGGGCTAAGTTCCACTAACCCCCAAGTCTTGCTTCTTCTTCCTTATTCCCCTGCCCGATTGCTCCACAATCCCACGCTTTGTTTTTGGACTCACAGAATATATGCATGGATTATAAACGTGTTATATATAAGTTTCTGCAACTTGCTTCCCCCCCACCCCTGGCCCCCACTTTTCATATGTTAGTACAAACAGGTCTTTTTTTTTTTTTTTGTAAAGATTTATTTTATTTATACAAGAACTGGGATACGGGCCAGAGGCACAGGAGGGTGAGAAAATTCACCAGAGACAGAGCGGGGAGCAGAGCAGGCAGACAGACCGGAAACACTGCTGAGGGAAGCAGTGGGTGAGACAGGAGAGGTGTGCCGCACCGTGTGGGTATCTGTATGGCTTGCCGGGACTCGAACCCACACTCCAGAAGCTGTGGACAGCTTCACCGCGCTGCGCTCAACCTGCTGCACCACCGGGGAGGTCCCAAACCTGGAATTTAGATGCTTGGATTACTGTTGGTATTTTATACAGATATATTAGACTTCCATACAGCATTACCTGCACACCGTTCCTTTTTGTGTCTCTGACATCCTTTGAGGATCATTTTTCTTCATCGTGAAATACAACTTCTAGATGTTTCTTTAGTGCAGGTTCCTTGATGGTTATACTCTGTCTTCATTTTTGTTTATTTGTAATTATTTTTTTTCTTGCCCTCATTCTTGCAAGTAGGCTTTCCTTGTAACACAATTCTAGGCCAACAATTATTTTCTCTCTTCACTTTAAACATTTCAGATGATTGTTTTGTAGCTTGTTTGTTGCTACTAAGAAACCTGGTGCTGCTCTAGTGTTTGTTCTTTTGCAGAAATCTATTCCTTTTGTCTGTTTGCATCCTTCAAAGTATCTTGTCTCTGCCCCTAAGTGACAAGGTAGCAGCACCAGCACCTCTGGGCCTTGAACCCTGGCTTCTGTTCTGACCCTCATTTGCTATACCTGCTCATTTTGTGGAACTGCTGTCTGGATAGAAGGATAGAAGACCCCGATTCCTAGTCACCATTGTGGAATTTCAGGGAAAGTCTATCCAGACCAGAAACCCTAGACTCCTCCCCATATCCCAGGGAATTCATGTTGCCCCCCTCATCCCATCCCAGAAAGACGGCGTAAACCACAAAGACAGGAGGCCAGCCTCGTTTCTGTTTTAGGAGAAAGGACATAACACAAAGCTGTACCCCACCGATGGGTGTGAGGACCCTTTTCCTTTTGTGAGCCAAGATTCTTCCAGTTTTCTTGATTCTTTGCATGCTAAGCAATTCCCTGTCCCCATCCCCTCGGTTCCCACCTGAATCTAAACCCCCAGCTGCCATTCCTCTCTGCTCACTGGACCACTTTAACCATCACAACACCCTTTTTCTCTTCTCCACTCTCTTCTCCCTCAGCAGCCAGTTCTCCTTAGCTCTGTGCACCTGGAACCATAGTGCCCCTTTACGGGAAACTCGTCAGTAACTCTGAGGGTAGCCGCTGGCCCCTTAACCTGGCCACAGGGCCCTGAATGAGCTGGCTTGTGTCCCCATCCTTCACCTCCATCATGGCCCCCTTTACTAGCAGCTGCGGCTAATTTCGACAGCAAGATTCCATCACCCTTCCTCCCAATGGAGATGTTCCCCCCTGCTCTTCATGAGACTGGCTCTCCTGCTTTGGATCTTAGCTAAAATGTTGCCTTCCCAGGGGCCTCTCTGGTGGCACAAAGGGTTAAGACACAGCACTGTGAAGCTACCCACAGCCACTGCAGCAGGAGTTCGATCCCCAGTTGGGGAGGTGACCAACATGGCTCAGCAGACCTCTCCTGACTCCCCACTGCTCCGCTTAGCAGTATAGGTCAGGCAATCTGCCTGTTCTATTCCCCACTCTGTCTCTGGTGAATCCTCTAACCCCCTGACCTCTGGCCTGTATCCCAGTTCTTGTATGCATAGATAAATCTTAAAAAAAAAAAAAAAAAAAAGTCACCTTCTCCAAGAGGCAGTCCTTGACTGGTTTATCTAAAGGAGCCCTTCCCAGGTATTTGCTTTCATCACTGTGAAATGTCTGTGCTTGTACTTAAATTTGTCTTCCCTCCACTGGAATTAAGTTCTAAGTGTAGAAAATCTGTCTGTTTTGTTCATCTCTGTATCCCCAGTAGTTCGCACAGCACCTGGTGGTAGTCAGGGCTCAGTAGATGGTTGTTGGGCAAATTAACAATGACTGTGATGTTCATGTCGTTTTTGGAGTTGTTGGGTTCATGGGGTCCTTGGGTTCACTCTAGAAAAGGTGTCACCATCGCTCCCCTTCCACCAGCACCAGCGAGTTCCCCGGAGAGCTTCTCCAGACACAGAGACGTTAGTTACATCCGAGAGGGCAGGTTTATATAAAAGGGAGAGAATAAAGGACACTTGCATAGACACAGATCAGCAGAAAGGGTTGCCCCGAAAGGGACAGGTTTGCTAAGAGAAAGGCCTGCATGATCACAGGTGGGCAGCCTTGAGGAGAGCTGCTTCAGCTTCAGGAGGTCAGTGAAGAGAATCTTCGGCCTGGCACAGGTCACAGCAGGCAGGAGGCTGCTGCCCTGCGGAGGAGAGAGTTGGTGAAAAGGAAGAACCTGCACAGGCACAGTGGACAGAGGACTGCTGCCCGGGACACTGCAGAGCCTGCACTGATGTAGCCTCCTTCTCTTTGGGAGGGGCTCACTCCTTCCTGGAGTGGTTTGTTTGTTGTTGACTTGGAGTAAACATGTAGAATTTGAAAGGGGCCAGATTTCTACAATGGCCTCCATCTGCAGATCTCCACCTTCAGGTCTGCACTCCCGACACCCCCTCCAGCAGTCTGATGCCTGCTTGGGTCTTGTGCTTTGTGTCTAGGCATTGGCTAAGGATCTGAGTTCCCTTAGCTGGGTTAAAGGGTATGTTAATCCCTCTACCTCCACCTTCAGCTCTTGGCATTGTGCGACCCAGGTTTCTGGTCTTGTGGCGCCTCCTTTCCAGTTTTTTTATCCTTATCCTCCACCAATGTGGATAACAACAATAGTGAAGCATTGCAAAAGACTTAATTATCTGCTAATGGGGTCCATCACAGAAATGATAAAATGTATTGAATAGTGTCAGAGTGTTACTGAGCAGCCCCGATATAAAACAGGTTGCTTGGCTGTGGGTCCTCACCAGCGCACTTAAAAGGGACTTATTAATGTTGTGCCCAAGGTTAGCAGACTTGGCGAGCATAGCCTCCAAGAACCCAAAGACAGCTGATGCAAACACAAAAGGGAGTTTATTTCAGACTCGAGTCCGGGTTCACGGCACCTACCAACGCAGTGGCAGATACTGAGAGCCCCGAACAAAGGAAGCAGGGGTCTTTCAATAAGGTTAAATTATGCTGGCAGTTACTCATTGGCTACAAGGATGCGTTCTCCAACTTTGCCCGGCTATCATTCTAAGCTGACTGGCCAGGCCAAGATGCAGCTCCAACCTGCAGCTCCAATTACAGCAAGTTCACCCTCATTGGTGACCAGAGAGTAAGGGTGGAGTGAGGGTCCAAACTATCTCTGGAATGCAGTCTTTTCCCGGGACAGCAAGACCTGCAAGACCTGAAATTCTAAAATGGCAGTTACACACAAAATGACAAAGTAATGGCTTAGAATACTTATGCTTGGCTCCACAATTAATACTCCACTGCAGGCACACACAAAAGGTTAATAAAAGGTTTATTATTTACAAGGGAAGGGGAAAATGAGGAAATGTACAACTCAGGGAGAAAATAGGGAAATAAAGTCTTAAATGCGTCCTACCCGATCTGCCGAGGAAACCCAAAGGCACTCTAAGAGCTGGCCACACTCTGCATGCTGGTGGAGAGCCCAAAAGGGAACCCCCCAAAGCCCACGTGTCTGGTTTTATACCAAACCTGCCTGCTTAACCCCACCCTCAGATCCCAGCCACCTTCCCTTTGGTGGTGATGGGATTTGTCTTTCCCAATGTCCTGATGGCTTTGGTCTGGGGTGGGGGTGGAGTCCACAAAGCCTGCATGGAATTAGCTTTAGGACATCCTTTCCCCCTAACAAGAGGGGCTTCCCTGGTGCCACAGGGGCTAAGTCTCAGCACTATGAAGTTAACTGTAGGCATTGTAGCACCGCCCCCCCCCACCCCCGTACCTCTGGCCTACACCCCAGGTCTTGTATGCATAAATAAATAAAATAAATGTAAAAAATAGTGTCAGGTATTTAAAAAATACTGCAAGGAAAAGTATGAAAATAAGTGTTATCTCTGGGGATGAGTGACTTTTCTCCTTTAAATAAAAAAAAACAATTTGTCTTTAGAACTTTTCTATCATCAAACAAGCATTACTTTTAATAAAAGTTAAAAGTTATTCTGGCATGTGGGTTGTAGAATAATGGGGTTTGGCAATGGAGGGTCTGAGTTTCCTCTTTTCTGTTTTCAGTTCTAACATCCCTCAACAATGACCCTATGGAAGATATCCCGATTTTGGCCCATAATGTCCTGAAGGCCATCGAAGACTCTCTTGCCTCGGGGTATGCCTCTACTTCCAGGCTTACTCAGCTAAGCAGGCACTTCTTCAAATGGTCCTGCCTGAAACACACAGAAAGAAAGAAGCGACTGTTTAAGACTGTCAAGCGGGAAAAGGCTGAGAGTGATCAGAAAAGGACAGCCCCGACCTGGCTCCAGAGCCCTCTCGCCTCATTGCGTAACTGGTACAAGTCACTGTAAATCTTGAAACCTGGGGACACCAGTCCTTGCAACTGTTGACCCATATGTTGAGCTCCGCCCCACGGCATGTGCTCCCATCTCCTGCCCCACTGGGACTATACATTGGCTTAAACTCCAGGAAGCATTTTATTTAAATAAATGTGTCTAATATTTTATTTGACTTACAAATACTTATATATCTCTAGTGAACAAAATTCATTTGCATTACTATGAACAGGAATCCTTTGTGTTGCTCCAGATAGGAATCATTTCCATTGTTCTCATCTTTCTAAACTCAACTTCTACTACTGCAAAATTGTAAAACAGTCCAAATCCAGAAAGTCAATCAACTTTGCATACCCCTATGAAATCAACAATCTCCAGAAGAACCTTTAGTTAAATATCCAGTGAAAGGTCCATGCAGGGGACAGGAATGCAAAAGCCCACCTAGGGGCCTGCTGATATCATCTGAAAACAACTTTTGTTCCTCCTCAAACCAGTTCCTCCACTTGCAAGCCCGGTTCCCCTCTCCCCATCCTATAAAAACCTGACTTCCCCTGACTAGGCTTCCGACCCCCACTTTGGGTCTGTGAATCTCACCTGGGGGTACAATAAGTTTTCTCCAACTTTGAGAAACTTGGCCTGGCTCTCCTTTTCTTTACTGCGCCAACCCTTTCATTCGGTGCCGAAACCCAGGAAGGCTGTGTCCCCTGGCAAGGGGGCCGCCTTCCCGTCCCTGGGACCTCTCCTCTCCATTGCAGACACCTCACATCCACCATCGCGCTTGATCCTTGGGGTAAGACACCTGTCTGACCCTCCTTCTTGGGAGGCCCTCGCCTTTGGCTATCTGGCTCCTCTCCTAACTCCCTGTTTTGTTTGGCTGTCCTATAAACCATGGGCCCACGTCAGCGGACCCCCTGTCACACTTAGGCCTGGATTTGGGGACGCCCATCCAGACTAGGTGCCCGGTTTAGGCAACATCCGAGAGGTGGAGATGACCCCCTTGCTTGTTTGCCCCCTGTCCTGTAGGCCAGAACCAAATCCTGGGACGCCGCGATCCTGGGTCTCTGGCCCCTGTAGGCCAGGTCAGACTCGTGGGACACTGTGTTCCTGACACTGTGCCCCCTGTCAGTTGGGAAAAGGATCCAGGTTAGTCACGGGATTTGCCAATTCAAAGCCGAGCCCAGCCACCCCACTGTGATTCCTTCTGTCAAATCTTGATCCGTTGGGACTAAGGCCAGATATACACCCTAAGCGCCTTGTTTTTTTATTGCAACACTGCATGGCCCAATATCAATTGGACAATGGCTCCCACTGGCGTGAGCATGGCACTTTTGACTTCTTGGTCCTTACAGACTTAAACAATTTCTGTCACTGCAGTGGAAAATGGTCAGAGATCCCTTAAGCCCAGAGCCAGGGTGGGACTACCAGGCTGACACAGACACGGGCCCCCAGGGCAGGGTTCACCGAGACCCGTTTTATTACCTGTCTCCTAGCTGGTCTCCAAGCAGCGGCCAGTGCAAAAAGCTGTAAACTTTGATAAACTCAGGGAAATTACCCAGTCTGCCTCAGAAAACCATGCTGCCTTCCTTAGCCACTTCACTGAGGTGTTTCAGCACCGTACCAGGCTTGACCCTGACTTGCCTGGAGGCATCACAGTTCTGGCTATCCATTTTATATCCCAGTCAGCCCCTGACATTAAAAAAAGTCTTAAGAAGGCTGAGGACAGTCCTCAAGCCTCTGTCTGGGATCTGCTGAATATGGCCTTTAAAGTATTTAACAACTGGGAGCAACAGGACAGGGCAGAGAGGGAACTCCGTAGTCATCAGAAGGACAAATTCCAGGCACAGGTCCTGGTGGCTTCTTTGAGACCGTCAGGACCTGCTCTTCCAATGACTGGATCAATGTGGACACCTGCTGCTCTCTTTGGGATACTGCCCACACCCCGACCTCCGCTGGGACCATGCCCCATCTGCTGCATCCAGGGTCACTGGAAAAGTTGTTAGGGGGAAAGGATGTCCTGAACTAATTCCATACAGGCTTTGTGGACTCCACCCCCACCCCAAACCAAAGCCATCAAGACATGGGGAAAGACAAATCCCATCACCACCAAAGGGAAGATGGCTGGGACCTGAGTTAAGCAGGTTAAGCAGCCAGGTTTGGTATAAAAACCAGACACGTGGGCCTTGGGGTCTCTCGCTCGCCTCCTGGCTTCATGGCTCATGGCTCGCTGCCAGCTCTCAGAGTGCCATTTGGGATTCCAGATCAGTGGATCGGGTAGGACACATTTAAGACTTTAATCTCCCACTTTTCTCCCTGAGTTGTACATTTCCTCATTTCCCCTTCCCTTGTGAATAAATCTCTTAGTAAAATTAAGTATTAAATGGAGTATTAAGTCCCTTTTAAGCACGTTCGTGAGGACCCACAGTCAGGCAACCCGTTTTATATGGGGGGGGGCGGGGAGGCCTGTAACAGTTTGGCGCCCAACGTGGTTTCCAAGTTACACCTGTGGCTGCCCTGTAACAAAGTGACTGTCCCTCCACGCCTGGCTGTGGTGGGCCAGTCCTTCCAGCCCCTGCAACTTCTAGCAGGAAGTAGCCAAAGAAAGAGCCATTGCCCCTTTTTCTATCAACAAAAGGCTGGTATGAAAGGTCGATGCAGGGGACAGGAATGCAAAATCCCACCTAGGGGTGAGACTGAGGAAGCCCACCTAGGGATGAGAATGATGGCCTGCTAATACCATCAGAAAACAACTCTGTTCCTTCTCAAACCAGTTCCTCCACCAGTTTCCCTCTCCCCACCCTTTAAAAACTTGCCTTCCTCTGACAATGGGCTCAACTTCACCAACCCCCACCTTGGGTCTGTGAATCTCACCCAGGAGTGCAATAAATTTTCCCACCTTTGAGAAAACTTGGCCTGGCTCTTCTTTTCCTTACCATACCAACCCTTTCAGTCGGGAAGGTTCCTGGTGGTTGTTTATGTCTGTTCCTAATTATCCAGTAACCAGATCTTACTCCAGGTGGTGGCTGGCTCAGCAATATTTCAGTAAAGCACTTCGCTTTTCCTGGGAGCTGTTTTGTTTCTTCTGTTCCTATATTGTTTCAAATCACTGTCCCCTGTCTCAGCTTTTCCCGTTCCCCACTTGATACTGAACGCCGGCCTCAGTTTCCCCTCACCCAATAAAAGGAAGTAGAATTTGAGGAAAAGGAAAGTGGTTTAATTTGTTGGCAAATGAGGAGGGCAGTGGACTCATGTCTAAAAGACAACTGTCCTGCTCTTTGGCAGAGTGCAGGGGTATTTATACAAAGGAAAAAAAGGGGGAAGTTGGGCAAGGGTCTGCAAAGGGGAGGGGTGAAGGGGGTCTGCAAAGGGGAGGGGTGAAGGGGGTCAGCACGGAGATGGGTGGGCGCCAGCTTACTTTTTTCCAACTACTGCTGTTTTCCTTGGAATGCAAGAAGACAAACCCATCAAGCAAGGGGGGAACTGCAAGAAATATGGAAAGACAAACTGTTAATGCTTCTCTGAGAGACTGGTCATAAAGAAGGCAAACTTGTCAAATAAGGGGGAAGTTGCAAGAGATGGGGAAGACAAACTTGTTAATCCTTATCTGAGAGACCAGTCACTTGTAAGGGCATCATAATCTCCTGGTCTCAGCTCCTCTCACTCCCTCTACCACATAATAATTATTACTAATTCTTTGCTGCTACTTCAAAGCTCAGTACTCCCCAAGACTTCCTGGGAGGGGGGAGGGGTTGAAAGTTGAGATCAATCACCTGTAGCCCATGGTTGCACGTCAGTGTAGTGAAGGCATCATAAAAACCCCAAAGAATTCCATTTTGGTGCTGGTGATGGAGGATAAGAAAAGAAAAGCTGGAAACGAGGCACCACAAGAGCAGAAACCTCAGTCAAACAATGCAGGGAACTGGAGGTGGGGGCAGAAGGGATTAACATAACCATTAACCCAGCTACAGGCACTAAACATCATTAGGCACAATGTCTAGATCACAAGGCCACAGACCCTCTCAAGTGTCAGACTGCTGTTAGAGTGTCAAGGGGCACAGGCCAGATGCCAGGATATGGAGATTGAGGGCTATTGCAGAACCTCTGGTCCCTTTCAAATTCTACATAGTTAACCAAAATCAACAAAAACAAACCACTCAAAAAGAAGTGAGCCCTTCCTAAAGAGAAGATGGTCTCAGTGCAGTTCCTGCACTGGCACAGGACAGCCATCCTTTGCCCACCTGTGACTTTGTGGGGGCCCCTTTTTTGTGGGTCTGCTACTCCTAAGCAGCCTGTTCGACCACCATTTTGTCACCTGTAGTTCTAAATCCTAAGCAAGGTCAAAATGGCCTGGTCAGTTAGGTACAGGAGCCCAATCCTTCACGGTGCCCTTCAAACAAGAGCACAAGCTGGATCACGCTGGGAAGGCTATACATCAGGAGGTATGACCAGGAATGCCCAGGGGGCTGAGGACCAATGTATGACAAGGGACCCCAGGAGGAACGCCTTGTTGATAAGATTAAAACCATGGCTGGGGACTATGGTGTGATCTCAATGACAGTACCGAGTCATCAAGTAGATAAGAAGTGACTGGAGGGCAGACTCACAATCCTTAATCTTCTACACCCTTCTCCTTTCTTTAATCTCCTTCCCCTTAATCTCCTTTTGCTCCTCCCCCTTATAACGGATACCATGTGTCAATAAAAAGGCCAGGATCTTGCTCTTCAGCAGCATTCTGCATTGTGTAGCCTGCTCCACAACTCCCATTTCTTTGTCAGTGTGGTATTGCCCGACACCACACCTTTTCACCAAACTTTTCCTTTTATAGAGCAGGGGCAGTGGCCCGTCTGCTGCCTATGCCTCTGCAGTTGCTCCCCACCACCTACTCTCTCCCTCTCGGGGCAGCAGCCTTCCTGCCTGCCCGTGACCTGTGGCCATGCCGGGACTTCTCTTCACTGAGAGGCAACTCTCCAAAGGCTGCCTGCCTGCAACCAAAAAGGCCTTTCCTTTGCAAGCCTGTCCGTTTTGGGGGCAACCCTTTCTGCCTGCTTGTTTCTATGCAAATGTACTTTACTTTTCTGTCCCTTTTCCTAATAAAGTTTTTTTTTTTTTTAAATAGAACTATTGTCTCTGTCCTGTGGAGAAACACACTGCGTGACACCGAAAGGGGAGCTATGGTGAAACCTTTCCCGGAATGAAGCCAAGGACCCCACACTCCAAATTCAAACTCCAAGGTGATAGTGTCAGAATTGAGTTAATTGCTTGTGGCGGAAAACATACACCTTGTACAAACTTTCAGAAAAATTTGTAGGGATCATCTAATCCAATCTCTTCACTGCACCAAGGGGACCCCACACCCAAGGAAGGACAGGTACGTTCTGTTCTAAGTAGAAGATGCACTCCCTAGAGCAGGGGTGGAACTTTAGCTTTGTTGTTGAACATGGGTCAGGCTATCTGATGGTACAGAAGCCAAAAACCTTTTGAACAAAGAACCAGTTTAATGCAAGTTCACCTGGCAGGAGACTGAAGGCTTGGCTCAACTCAGTCTCCCCAAGCATAGGGCTTTGGGCAACTTTTAAAAAAAAGATTTATTTATGCATACAAGAACTGGGGTATAGGCCAGAGGTGCAGGGGTGAGAGGATTCACCAGAGACAGAGTGGGGAACAGAACAGGCAGACTGACTGAAATACGCTGCTGAGGGGAGCAGCAGGCGATACAGGAGAGGTCTGCTGCACCATGTGGGCAGCTTGCTGGCCCACCGGGGATCGAACTCATGCTGCAGAGGCTGCAGATAGCTTCATAGTGCTGTGCTTAACCCCTTGTGCCACCAGGGAGGCCTGCTTTGGGCAATTTTTATGGAGTTGAGGAACAAAGAAAAAAATATCAAAAATGGAAGTTGGTAGTCTAAATCACTATTTAGCTCCACTTAGGTCCAGAACTGCAAGAAGACTGAACACCCCTTGCTTCATTTCTGAATGATGTCTGCTGGAGGATAAGAATAGGAAAAAATAGGAAGCACCCAAGTCCAGAAAACTGGCTCACACAATGCCAAGAGCTGTAGGTGGGGGTAGAGTGATTAACAGAGCCTGCTGTTCCCCTCAGCAGTGTATTTCAGTCGATCTGACTGTTCTGTTCCCCACTCTTTTTTCTGGTGAATCCTCTCACCCCTTGAACCTCTGGCCTGTACCCCAGTTCCTGTATGCATAAATCAACAACTCTTTAAAAAAAAAAAAAAGAATTCCTAGGACATTTATATGCTCCAGATCTTGTCTCTTTTAGATACTTGCATTCTATTATTATTATTATTATTTAAAGATTTATTTATTTTTATACAAGAACTGGGGTACAGGCCAGATGCGTGGGAGGATGAAAGGATTCACCAGAGACAGAGTGGGGAACAGAACAGGCAGACTGACGAAATATACTCCTGTGGGGAGCAGTGGGTGTGACAGGAGAGGTCTGCTGCACCATGTGGGACCCTCGCCAGCCCGCTGGGATCGAACCGACGCTGCAGAGGCTGCGGACAGCCTCGTAGCGCATCACTCAAGCGCCTGCACCACCAGGGGAGGCCCTGCATTCTATTATTTTTTACCTGACTGGTTCTTAGTCTTTTTTTTTTTTTCTTTCCTTCTTTCCTGTTTCTTATTCATGAAAAAGAAAAAAAGAGGTTTGTTTATGACATCTGTCACCCTTCTGCTCTGAATAAGGCAACAAACAAACCCAATCTTCGTCATTGCTGGGGTCTTCCCTCCCAGATCACCATGTGTTTCTCTATTGCACCCCCTTCCCTGCTTTACTCAGCTGCTGCTTGAAACACTTATCTTTCCTCTCAGTTCTTTGATTTCTCTTTCTCTTATGCAATTGGTTTGTGTTTTTTTTTAAATTTTTTTAAAGATTTATTTATACATCTAGGAACTGGGGTGCAGGCTCTTGGAGATACACCTGACTTCTACTAAGTTTTGACTTAATACAGGAAATTTTGTTATATTTTGTTCTGATTCAACAAAGTTTTCTTCTTTTGACTGACCAGGACCTGCAGCAATGTTGAATTTTTTTTTTCTTTTTTCAGCAGAGTTAACTTGTGTGCACATTTTCTCTCCCCTTGATACCAACACAGCATAAAAATAGTGGTAGTAATTTTTTTTTACTACTTATCTCAGAGTCTGTTTTTGCATAACATCCTTAGGGCTTTTGTCAGCTTAAACTAAAAAAATTGGACTTGAGTTTCATTGTGTGGCTTTGAGTGGAGTTCTTCCAGGAAGTTGAAACAGCTGAACCAAGAAGAGGAGAACCTATTGCTTTGTAGGGTTCCAGAGACCTCCAAAGAAGGTGAGGAAGCTTGCCTCCATTGGCAGGACTGGACAACCCAGAAAATGAAAAAGCACTGGTACCCTCGAGAAGAGGAAGCCCAGGTGGAGTCTGGTGAGACCAACTTTGTTCTTCAAGCCTACGTGGACCAGATGTCAAGAGTTTGCTCCTGATTCCAACAAGCCAGCTAAAATTGCTGTTTAGTTATTCTGCCCTGTGATTGTATGCAAAAATAGGCAATATGGTTTAAAAGTAGAGTTAGTTTGCAAACTTCTGCTATGCTGTTAACAATTTGGGATCAAGGTTGAGAGAACTTGTTTTTTTTTACATGAGTTCAACCAATTTTAAGATTTTTTTCCCTGTGAATTTGATATACTTGCCGTCTTGTTTTAGCTAATGGCTCCAGATTTTTTTTTTTTCTTTAGGCTTGGAAATGGACTATATTCCAGTTATGGAAAACTGTCATACTGGACATTCATGGACAATGCTGCTGCCTAATTGTTGCTTCTCTTACACACATTGTAACCCTGAAAAAAGACGTCTCCTAATGTTATGGAGCAGCCCCGATATAAAACAGGTTGCCTGGCTGTGGGTCCTCACCCACACGCTTAAAAGGGACTTATGAATACTCCACTACAGGCACACACAAAAGGTTCATAAAAGGTTTATTTACAAGGGAAAAGGAATTGAGGAAATGTACAACTCAGGGAGAAAATAGGGAAATAAAGTCTTCAATACGTCCTACCCGATCTGCGGACCTGGAAACCCAATGGCACTCTGAGAGCTGGCTGAGTGCTGCAAGCTGGCGGAGAGCCAAAAAAGGGAGCCTCCCAAAGCCCACGTGTCTGGTTTTATACCAAACCTGGCTGCTTAACTCCACCCTCAGGTTCCAGCCACCTTCCCTTTGTGGTGATGGGATTTGTCTTTCCCAGTGTCCTGATAGCTTTGGTCTGGAATGGGGGTGGAGTCCACAAAGCCTGTATGAAATTAGCTTTAGGACATCCTTTTCCCCCTAACAATTAGACTACACCCTGAGTTCTGTGCCACCATAGTACATGGTGAACTAAAAATTAAAAGGGGGATTGTAACAGCGTGGTCCCCAGGAAAGGGGTTTCCTGCCCCACCCAAGGGAGGGTGGAGTTGAACAGGGAGAGAAACAGCTGCAGAGGAGACTGAGAAAAGGTAGGAAGCAGGATGAAGAGCCAGAAAGAGACTTGGAGGAGGCACTGGAAGCTGAGAGACATGTGAAGAAACCGCTTGCCTTTTGGTCGTGGCCTGGGTGACACAGATGTGGGTGAGAGACCCGTGGGCTGTTTTTGTCTTGATTTTGATTTTGCTCTTTTCCTTCCATACTTGTCTGGTGGTTTCTGATCCTTTTCTGGGGGTCCCCACTGGAAGATGCTTTAGACTTGGGGCAGGCTTTGGGGCTTTGCTCTGGGTCAATCCTGCTTGGGTGGACTTTCACCCACTAGGGGACTGGTAACTTTGGGTGCTTGATTTAGAAACAATATACCTTGCCTTTCTTGCTCCCTGACCAGGGGTTGAACTCATGCCACAGTGGCTGGAAATAGCTTCAAAACTCTGAGACTTTAACCCCTGCACCACCAGGGAGGTTGGGAGATATTTATTAAGTAAGTACTATGGCAGGAGTTTTAAGGAAGTTCTGAGAAAGCCATTTCTCTGCAGGAGTCACGCTTATGAGAGGGGGCTGCCTTCTGCCTTCCGTTCTTTGGAATAGAAGGTGTGGGTTTGTTCCTAGTGGAACATTCCAAGCTTCGTTGCCAGGGTGTGATTATTTTCCAACAATTAGATGGTATTCCGAGGAGACACTTGCTCTGTGTCTTCTGAACTTCTTCCTTGTAGTGCTGTTTTCCATTTGTGTGGGTAAGAAGGACAGAAAGAGACTGGAGCAGGGTCAGGTCTAGAGAGACTCTGGGGTGGAGGTGGAGGTCAGTTGCAGCCCCTGTCCTAAATGAACCTGGACAGGACAGTGCCTGTGTAAGGGAGGGATGGACTTGAGGGAGGTTTTTTTTTTTTAAAGATTTTATTTATTTATACAAGAACTGGGGTACAGGCCCGGGGTGCGGGAGGCTAAGAGAATTCACGAGATAGAGTGGGGAGCAGAAGAGGCAGACTGGCAGAAAATACACTGTTGAGGGGAGCAGTGGGCGAGACAGGAGAGGTCTGCCCCTCCAAGTGGGTGTCTCCCTGCGTGGCAGGGAATTGAACCCGTGCTGCAGAGGCTGTAGACAGCTCTACAGCACTGTGCTCAACCCACGGCGCCACCACCACCTGGGGGGAGGCCCCTGAGGGAGCTTTAATAAGTAGAAGTCTCTGCCCTTGAGAGGGATGTGGGTGGTGCAGGAAAGGAGGTATCAAAGATGACAGAGATAGGGGTTGAGTTTGGATGGAGAGGATAATGCATTCAATGTGGGATGTATTGAGATTGAGGTACTGCAAGAAATGAAAGGAAATGAAAGGAAATGAAAATTTAGAAATAAGAATTTGCGACTCAAACAATACCTGTAATTTGTCCCTTAGAAAATTTCAGGCATTCATTCTAAACTCCGGTTCAGAAAGTCTAGTTCTGATGATAGACCTATTGTCTATCATCCCGAACAAGGTAAGCATCTGTGAGGTCTTTGCTGCCTCACAACCTCCCTCATCTCCTCTTTCGTGTTGTGTTGTCTAATATTTTAATTCTGCCCTGCTTTTAACTCCCTCAAATTAATAGTGATTATTAGATAGTTTTCTTTTTTCTTCTCCTGGAACACCTGAAGCCAAAAGAGTAACATATCAAGATTATCATCTGCTGGATTGTTTTCTTAACCAGTTTTCCTCGTCTCCCCACAGCACAGGTTTGTTGTTCTTACCCTAGTTGGTCAGCGGGAGGCAATGCTATGGGCAAATGTTCCCATTTGTTTTCTAATTTTTTTTTAAAAGATTTATTTATTTATACAAGCACTGGGTACAGACAGAAGCGCAGGAGGGTGAGAGGATTCACCAGAGACAGAGTGGGGAACAGAACAGGCAGACTAACTGAAATACACTGCTGAGGGGAGCAGCGGGCGAGTCAGGAGAGGGCTGCTGCGCCATGTGGGTCAGCTCCCTCTGGGGATCAAACTCTCACCACTGTGGCTGCTGACAGTGTCTTAGTGCTGAGACTTAACCCCTTGCGCCACTAGGGAAGCCCTGATTTCTTATTCTTAAAGGAAAGACTTCCAGCAGGAGGGACACAGCTTCCTTTCTCTCTCTTTGTTCCTTACAGGCATGTTAATAGCTACGATAGCCTCCCCAGAGACGACTCACAGGGACTTGGCATGGGATGTCTCAGAAAAGACCATTGAGAACTTTAATGACGCCCTCCAAGTTTCTGGTCAGGTGAGGGCACCTCTGACACCTTCCTGACTCCAGCCCGGGTAAGACCACCTCCATCAAATAGGTGATTTGGGCTTAGACCCATTGTGCCTGAGGCATGGGAAGAGTTTCCAGTCAGCAGGGCACTATTTGTTCAGTCCATTCACAGCTCCAGGGCTGGTTCCATGGCCTTGACCATCCCTTTCCCACCCTCTGACCACTGGTCCAGCTTTATCCTCTCCTAGGTTTCCTCTTCTGCCTTGCTCTACCAGGGATTGCTATTGTCTTCACAACTCCACCCTTCAACCTTCCTTCCTTTTGAGTCCCTTCTCTCCAATAGTTGTCAGCAGATACTATCCTCCAAACCCTCAAGATGCTGGAAATCAAAATCACGAGTAACAAGTTGTCACCTCCACTGTGCCAGAAAGTGACAGATGTCATCATCAAGTATCTGAGGACCTTGGTGAGGAGCCTGTGTCTCTGGGTTGAGGGATCTGGGGAAAAGAGAATCCTAGGTCTGAACCCAGAGGTTCATTTGTGGGGGTAATTGCACTTAGAAACTAAGTGGGGCCTGGAATATGAGTACCTCAAGCTTCTGACAGTTTGCTACAACCCATATCTCACCCCTGGATATATCCCAAGAATGGTGACCTAGACAGAAATGCAGATACTGTTATGGAATGAAGGGGTGAAAGGTGAGATGCAAAGGAGAGAAGGATTTGGGCTATTGGCCTCAAAGTCCGATCTGGTCTTCAGACTGTCCATGCCCTGGGCAGACAGTCCCTTTTGTTACTGCCACTCCACCAGCCATCTCGATCTACTAACCTGTTTAATCTACCCAACTGTCTGCTAGTTCCCCCCCCAACCCCGTAGACTGTATATTCATGACTCTGCTTAACAGTCTACCCACATACTTCCATATTGACTTTCCTGGTGCTGGGTTAATCTGGTATCTCCTTTTCTAGGGTAATTATATACCTATAGATATCTTTCTTCCTGTTGACTCACCTTCCTTACCATACCCATCTCTCATCAAAAACCTTGACCTGCTAGGGGCTTTGTAAAGTTGCTTCCACAATCTACCCACCTTCCTGGTGGTTTACTAGCTGCTGCATGGGAAAATCCCTGATCTGGGAACCTTGATCCAAACTCTTACCCCAACACACAAGCCAGAGATTTCTTGTCTTCTTGTGCTCCCTCACACTCTAAGATGCTCTTGTGCTCCATCACTGGAAAGGTGAACACTGGATAGGGTGGTAGGTGGGGTAGGTGAATTCCTTTTATTTTTTTTAAGATTTATTTATTTATGCATACAAGAAATGGGGTGAGTGGGGGGGGTGAGAAGATTCACTAGAGACAGAGTGGGGGGCAGAACAGGCAGATTTACTGCAATACACTGCTGAGGGGAGCTGCGGGCGAGACAGGAGAGGTCTGCTGCACCATGTGGTGCACCATGTGGTCTGCTGCACCCGGCTCCCTCTCTGGGAATCGAATTCATGCCACAGTGGCTGCCGATAGCTTGATAGTGCTGTGTCTTTAACTCCTACACCACCTGGGAGGTCCAAATTCCTTCCCTTTGGATAGAAGAGAATTACTTCTTGACCAAAGCTGATTCTCAGCAGCCTGGGGACTCATCTTGGAGATTAACCTTGGGACATTTAGTCTTCCTCTTTTCAGAAGCCATCCAAAGAATTGGAGGAGAAATGTACTGCAGTCCTACTGGCTATAGGGTCCTACCATCCGGAAATGATCACTGAAAAACTCTGGGACAGAGTTTATCTGTACACCTTGCCTCCCAGAAGCCTCCTGGTTGCCGTTGGGAAACTCACCGTCTGCCCGGGTATGGATCCCTGTGGTGGAAGAGTGAGTCTGAATTGAGGACTTGGTCACGGGCGGGGTGCTGTCATGTCCATCCTCCTGCCTCCTCTCACTGAACATTTCTACTGAGCAATTGGGGGTGTGTAGTGGGGAGGAGACCAGCCAGGATTCCTGTGGGATTGATGAGCACTCAGGAGGGAGGCTGACCAGGAGTGGCACAGTAGGAAAAATATTAGGACAGAGGGGACTGGGACAGGAGAAATGACTTGGAAACAAATGAAGATGGAGGGAAAAGACAGATGAGAATGCTCCCATTCAACTGTGGTGGGAAGGAGCAGAAGAGTAAGTGACGGATGCTTTGTTTAGGGGACCCTGAAGCTGTGCAGCTGTCAGGGTCTTGGAAGGCAGTGTGTGTGTGTAGGTTGTGGCGATAGCTTGATTTGTCTGTCTGCTGACATCCATTATTGTGCAGGATGAGCCCAAGCCTTGCCATGTGGGCTCCCTCCTGGCACAGATACCAGTAACAGCAGACACACCCTCACCCACCCCTCTCCCTCCCTCCAACACCAAGCGGGCAGGAAAGTCAAGTCACTGGACAAATAACACCCCCTGCCCCTTCTTGACCACTTGGAGTTGGATCTAAGGAGAGGCTGTGGGACGTCAGCTGACCTGCTGGACACAAGCGTCCAAATGAAAAGGCATGTGGGCTGGCTGCAAAGCAAGCACAGGGCACACCATGGCAGAAATGCATCTCCTGAACGAATCCCGCCAACTTCAGATAGCACGACCCTTGGTTTCCTTAAGGGCCCTTGGAGGGCAGTGTGTGTACGCAGGCTGTGGCAAGGCCTTGTGTTCGCTTGCTGTGCTAGCACGCCTTGTTGAGCTGATCTTCCCAGCAGACCTGTGACGTAGTCACATCAGGTATAGCAGTCCTTGTTGACAGCGGAGGAAGCTGAAGCTCAGATATAGATATATATCTATAATAATATATAATATATATCTATATTATATATATTTTTATATAAATATATATCTCTCTATATATATTTGAAGATTTATTTTTATTTATTTATGCATAGACGAACTGGGGTATAGGCCAGAGGTGCAGGGAGAGAGAGGATTCACCAGAGACAGAGTGGGGAACAGAACAGGCAGAATGACCGAAGTACACTGCTGAGGGGAGCAGCAGGGAGTCAGGAGCGGTCTGCTGCGCCATGTGGGTTGCTCCCTGGCCAGCCGGGGAATCGAACTCATGCTGCAGAGGCTGCAGACAGCTTCATAGGCTATGTCTTAACCCCTTGCGCCACCGGGGAGGCCCAGAAGCTCAGCTATATGAAGTTACTCACTCCAGGTTGTCCGTACTCTTTGGAGGCAGAGCTAGTGAGCAGAACCCAGTGCTCCTGGCCCCTAGTCATCAGTGTCCTAGTCAATAAGGTCTTCTACAGTAATGCCGGAAGACTCCCTCCCTGGAAGAGAAATGTCTTTCTTGTACTCTCCCTCTCAGGTATAGCCCACTGCATTGGCACCACATGGGAACATATCCTGCGCCTTCTGGGGATGACCCAGGAAGAGGAAGACATGTTGGCATTATGTCAAGGTGAGGGGTAGGAGGGCCTGGGCAAACTTCTTTGGGAATTAGGGATGGAGGAAAGAAGAGCAGGAAGAGACTGGGTTTTCTGAATGTGGACCCAGAAACCTGGAGAAGGTGCAGGAGAGAACAAATCTAAAAGCAGGCCAGGTGCGAACAGATCCTTTTCTCCATCTGACCTTTCGTGAGGATGGTTGGTTTGGGGCAAGGACCAAGCTCGATGGGGGTACTGTGGGGTTGACAGTCTCAATCACTTTTCCCACCCCTGCAGGGGGGATCAGCTGCAGTTGGAAGGCAAGATAACCGTAGTGGTGGTGGTGGTGAGTGGGTTGGTCTTTCCCGGAACAGAATGCCAGAGGCCCTTTTAGTGTTGGGATGAGAAGACTATGCCCACATGTATGTATGTTGCCCTTTGTGGCAAAAGAAGGATGCTGAGCAGCCAACTCCCTGCTTCCCACACAGCACTCAGTGGATTGGTCGTCAATGTCCGAAAGCATCTGGATCTGGGCGCCCACGCTGATGAAGTGATGGACATCACACAGGAGGCAGTGTCCATCAAGGCCTACTATACTCTCCGGGTGCTCTTGAACCGTTGGCCCATGAAGACCAAGGTAAAGGAGGGAGTGGGAGCTAGCAGGGGTCAGTGAGGGCTGAAGAGTGATTTTTTTTAAAGATTTATTTATTTACATATACAAGAGCTGGGGTACAGGCTAGAGATGCGGGGCTGAGAGGACTCACCAGAGACAGAGTGGGGAACAGAACAGGTGGATCTACTGAAACACACTGCTGAGGGGAGCAGCGGGCGAGACAGGAGAGGTCTGCTGTGCCATGTGGGTCAGCTCCCTGGCTGAGGATCAAACTCATGCTGCAGTGACTGCAGCATAGTGGATAGCTTCATTGTTGCATCTTAACCCCTTGCACCACCAGGGAGGCCCTGAAGAAGTGAATCTTGTGCCCAGGGAACATAAATTCTCCAGACTTTTCTTGGAAAGGCGAGTGACTCTCCTCAGGCTCCTGTTCCCATTGTCCAGAGAGGGCACAGTCAGAAAAAACTCCACTGTCCATTCAGTTATGTTATGCAAGTAATTTCCTGATGACCCTGAATGCCAAGTGTGTGCTAGGCCCTCGGAATACCAAGACAGCTAAGACCAAGCCTGAGGGCTTGTCCCGCCTTCCTCCCCGAGCTGAGGCCTGTGCGTTGTGTCTCCCTGGGCACAGGAGGCAGAGCAAGCTCTGGTCATTGCCGGCCACCTCTTCTTCCTCATTGCACCATCCAAACTCAAGAACCAAGTGAACCATTTAGTCCGCTGGCTGATGATGTTATTCACCCATGTGACACCTTTCTACATCTCCCAGGTCAGTAGGGTGGGGGTGAGACTGTTGCCTGAAATCATCATTGCTGTGAAGTGAATTCAAAGGTTCATCAAAAGAGCAGTCTATTAAGGAGACTATTCAGAGCCAAACTGAGGACCGAGGCCTGGGAGTCTATGAGAATATGTCTCTATGGTTTACTCTCAGTTTCCCAAAGAAAAAAATACACCTACTTAATTTCAATCATTTTCAGTATAATTTGGTTCTAATTTTCTTAGCTAATGATCAAGAATAAGTCCTTTTTTAGTGCAAAGTGACCTCTCTCCTTTTTTTATAGATTTATTTATTTAATCATACAAAAACTGGGGTGTGTGAGGATTCACCAGAGAGAGTAGGGAGCAGAACAGCAGATCTGACCAGCGGGCAAGATAGGAGAGTTTTGCTGCGCCATGTGGGTAGCTGCCTGGTGGGCCGGGGATGGAACTCGTGCTGCAGAGGCTGCAGATAGCTTCACAGTGCTGTGTCTTAACCCCTCGTGCCACCAGGGAGGACCCTCTTTATTATTTTTTTTATTTCTTTATTTTTTTGCAAAGTGATCTCTTTATCTTACAAAGCCAACTTAGAGCTGTCTGTGTGGAAGATGGATAGCTGACTTTCTTATTCTAGAACATGCCCCTATAGATGCAGTAAGGTGCAGTTAGGCCATTATCTCAGGCTCTTTCTTTCAGCAACTAGTAAGCATGATGGGTGGACTTGGTCTGTGGAATTTTCTTCTCGCCTCAGGCTTTCCTCACAGCAAACAGATGTTATTGTTTTGCTGACTCCAACCTCTGAGATGACTCTGCAGTATGGTCACAGAGGAAGCTATGGTTCTAGTAGAATGTAGAATTTTCTCTGTTTTTAGTCCACAGTTGGACATTTAACTGTGGAAACTTTAGTCCACAGTTGCGGTCCGTATTTATTGTTATGAATACTTCGTGTTGCATTTGGCAAAGGATGACCTATAGGCCAAATCCGGCCTTCAATTTGTTTGATGAATAATATTCTATGGGAACTCAGTCACACCCATTAGCTGCTTTGCTTTTCTCTGATTTCTTTGTATCTGACCTTAGACCTAGATTATCAGGTTCATGAGACTGGATGAAGCCCACCTGGGGAATCTCCCCATTTTAAGCTCAACTGATTTGGGGCCTTAAGTATAGCTGCAAAATGCCTTCACATCTACCCCTACACCAGTGCTTGATTGAATAACCGAGAGAAGGTGTATGCACACAAGGGGATCATCTCAGAATTGTAACATAGAAATGTGACACCAATATTAGATGTTTTTATGAGTGGAAGACTCAGAGTCTAAGTTTTCTGATTGTTTTTCAGTTTTCCTTGCATTTCAAGGGTATGTCTGAAACCAAGTTCTCTCCAACTTTTAATGTGGAGCCCAATGAAAAGAAGTGCCATTATGTCAAATGGGTGGGAAACACTGAGTTAAAATGAAACAAATTTCTTTTTTTTTTTAAAGATTTAATTTATTTATTTATACAAGCACTGGGTACAGTCAGAAGTGCGGGAGGGTGAGAGAATTCACCAGAACAGAGCCAGAGCAGGGAACAGTACAGGCAGACTGACGAAACACACTGCTGAGGGGAACAGCGGGGCGTGGCAGGAGAAGTCAGCACACCATGTGGGACCCTCTTGGGCGGTGGGGGATCGAACCTGTGCTGCAGAGGTTCGCAGCCCAGCCCTCAACTGCTGTGCCGCCAGGGGAGGCCTTGAAACAAATTTCTTAACTAGAACTCAAAGCTTTCACTATGCAAGTTGGCTGGTCCTCTAAAAAGCAGATGTCAACGTGGAATTAGAGGTCTGAAAGTTACCTTAGAGGAAGGCTTGTGAGGGCAAGCCAAGAAGGATCTGGAGAAAGCTGGGAGAACATCAGATTGTGATGTCATCTGACGATAAGGAAAGGGTGTGGAAGGAAGGAAGGAAGGATGGGAAGAAGAGAGGAAAATCTTGTATTTAAGTGTAGTTTTTATTTTGTTATTTTTTAAAGGTTTATTCATTTATGCATACAAGTGCTGGGGTATAGGCCAGAGGTGTGGGGGGTGGGGGTGAGAGGAGTCACCACAGACAGAATGGGGAAAAGGAGAGGCAGACTGACTGAAATACACGGCTGAGGGGACCAGCGGGCACGTCAGGAGAGGTCTGCTGCGCCATGTGGGTCACCTTCCTTGTAGGGAATGGAACTCGTGCTGCGGAGGCTGCGGATAACTTCACAGTGCTGAGGCTTAATCCCTTGAGCCACCAAGGAGGGCCCTGAAGTGTTGTTTTGAGAGCATTTCAGCAAAACCATCAGGGAGTCACTGGGCCAAAATCTCCCATCAGAAAAGCACCATGTCTTGCCACAATGGCTGTGTCTTCTTGGACCTGCCATCCTTAGGCTGTGGCTGGGAGAAATCTGTGGGAATCTGGGTTTAGTTGTAACATAGAATGGATTTTTGAGCATGGCAGTTGGATTTGTTGGTCTGTTATACCCCTCAAAGTAGGCACTAAGGGGCACATTTTTCATAACTGCTGAATATGCTCATGTGCGTTTACGAATTTCCAAAAGGAGGAATTTTTTTGGGGGAGTGGAACACCCATTAGCCTCAAGTTTCCAGGGACCAGAGTTCACTGCCACCATTGCACCACCACTTCAGAGGCCCTTTCCTGGGGATGTGAAGTGCTGCCCTTCCACACATGTGCTCGGCATTTTCTCCATGAGCGCACTGACCACTGTCTCTCATGTATTTGTCCTCCTGCCACATGTCTGCATGTTGCTGTAGAGTAAGGTCTATATGCATTTGGAACTGAGGTTTGCTCTGTGTGGATACTTAGTTGGTTGGAGGATGTTACTTGCATCCTCAGTGCTTCTGGTCTGCAGGTGAGGTCAGGTCAAGATCTAGCCCATCTCAACTAACATCAGAAATGTTTTCTCAACGATCTTTCTTCCTCTCCCTCCTCTTCTTTTACTGCACGTGATGTATGTATTTATCCATCCATAGAATATTTTTTTGGATCAGCCAGCATTAACCAGCTCTAGCTGAGAAAGGTGGGCACATTTGGGGCTCCACCAGCCAGACCAAAGAGCAGGAAATATTAAATATTGAAAATCTAGCAGAGGGATTTCTGCTTATGGCAGAAAGAGTAAGTGGGGCCAAATTTACCATCTTGCTTGAAACAACAAAAAGCACCACAAAGTGTGTGAAATAGGGCCTCCCTGGTGGCACAAGGGGTTAAGATGCAACCTATGAAGCTGTCCGCAGCCTCTGCAGCATGAGTTCAATCCCCGGCCAGGGAGCAACCCACATGGTGCAGCAGACCTCTCCTGTCTCGCCCACTGCTCCCCTCAGCGGTGTATTTCAGTCCATCTGCCTGTTCTGCTCCCCACTCTGCCTCTGGTGAATCCTCTCACCCCCCAGCACCTCTGTACCCCAGGTTTGTATGCATAAATAAATAAGTCTTTAAAAAAAGAAAAAAACAAAGTGTATGAAATCATGGTTCTCGAGACCTTGGGCATCAGGCAGCAATGAGCCGTGATCCCTCAGGGGAGGAAAGAGATGAGCTGAGCCCGGTGCTCCCCGTGGGGCGGGCAGACCATCGCTGCACTCAGCTGTGAGGAACGAGACCCTGGGACTTCCTTGCAAGGGTCCGAGGACAGTGGGACACGCCGCTGGCTGGGGAAGTCCTCACGGAGGTGAGCAGAGAGGGCTTCCCGGAGGCCGCCAGGGCCCGGCCGGCGTGTGCTGACACCCTCCTTTTCCCACGCAGTGTGTCTGCCAGCTCGTGGACTCTCTGGCTCTCAGCGGCTGTGGAGGGGTGAACTTGGAGTCCCAGCTGGAGAACTTGACGGCCATGCTGTTGAGGCTGGTGAGAGCGGAGCAGAGCCCCGGGCTTGCTCTCTGCTCGGAGATGGGCCCCAGCCCTGGGGCCGTCCTCCACGCGGCTCGGGAGTCTTTGGGGTGGCGACCTGGGCCACCCCCCTCGGGCTCCCCCGCAACAGGCGGCGCCTGGATTCTGAGCAGGAGCGGGGTGTTCTCTAGGAGCTGAGCAGGACCCCTTCCGTAGGTTTCTTGGAGGAGACAGGCCTTGCTGCCCCCCCAAACTCTGGGAAAAGGCAGGAGGTTCGACCTACTCCATCCCACCTGTGGGAAATGTCAGAGCCTCTGGTTGTACCCCAACTCTCAGAGGCATAAACTGGAGTGGGCGCATGAGTAAGAACAGGACAATTGAACATTATTCGCCTAAAGGTGTTACCTTCCGTGTATTTAGTTTGTGGCCCTTGTCTCCTGTCCTCTGGGAGCTGGGACTGTGGCGTCCTGGGTGCTATTTTCCTGCTCTCCTGATGGTCAAGCACCACACTGGTCGCGGCCACAGGCCCCGGTTTCCCCCCCTGCATCAGGGCCGCTGATTTGGGTGCCCTCAGGTCTCATGGCTTTGGTCTCCCCACAGCTGACCGTAAAGGTCAACACCGCAGACCCCCACTCTGTGCAGAACAGCCACCTCGTCCTGAGGACTTTCAGTGTCCTAAGTGAGTGCTGTTCCCCTGGCCAGGCATGCGGGTGGGTGGCGGGTGCTCAGGACCCCTCCTGGCCCTGGGGTGGGGCTTCCGTCCCGCTGGCAGAGATGCCAAGTCAGCCCTGGGAGCCTGCCTGAAATGAAATGAGTCCCCAAAAGCACAAGCCTGCTCTGCCCCTACCTCCTTTGCTCCCTCCCCTTCACCTCGGAGTGGAGTCCTTTCATGAGCCCCAGCTCAAAAGCCGACCCTGGAGTTATGGCTTTGATGCTCACGAACGCAGTGCTGGAACTGTGGGAGCGCCAGAGGCCAAGTTCCCGCCAGGCGAAGCCTGTGCCCCAGGCCTGGCACAGAGCAAATGCCAGGCAGACACCGGCTCTCTTTCCTCCTGCTTCATTTCACTCACCTGATGGACCCCAGTTTCTCCAGTTCCCTGCATCAGTGGTTTGCTCTGAGCATGAGTTCCTTCTACTTACCCCCTGCCGTGGAAACATGCCCTTGACTGCCTTGCACTCGCACCCTCTGACAGCCAAGCTGTACAGTGACCAGGTGGTGTTCTTGTTACGCAAGACCATGGAAACCAGGGACCCGGACATGGTGGCATCCGCTCTCCAAGTCTTCATGGATTTGTTCCAGGAGGGTGAGTGTGCATTGGACCTGGCCTGGAGGGTCTTCTTTCCAATTCATCTCCTTTCTCTGAGCGACAGTCCCTTAGAGTCGTTAAAAGCACTGTCGAAACTGGGAATGTGATGGGTTGACACCAGTCGGAATACACACCCGGGCAGCTTACTTTTATTCCATGCCTCTAGTCCATCATCTGAAAAGTGGAGGTGAAACTAAAGCCTGCCCTCAGGGTTTTTTTATATCATTTTTTAAAAAAGATTTATGTATTTATGCATACAAGAACTGGGGTACAGGCCAGAGCTGTGTGAGAGGACTCACCAGAGACAGAGCAGGGAACAGAACAGGCAGACTGACTGAAATACTCTGCTGAGGGGAGCAGCGAGGAAGACAGCAGAGATCTGCTGCGCCAAGTGGGCAGTTCCCTCGCTAGCCGGGGATCGAACTCATGCTGCAGAGGCTGTGGATCGCTTCACAGCGCTGTGCTTAATTCCTTGCACCAGCAGGGAGACCCCAGGGTTGTTTTGGTTTTTAAATATTTATTTACGTATACAAGAACCAAGATAGAGGCCAGATGGCTCGATGTGCGGGAGGGTGACAGGATTCACCAGAGACAGAGTGGGCAACAAAACAGGCAGACTGACGAAATACACTGCTGAGGGGAGCAGAGGGCGAGTCAGGAGAGTCTGCTGTGCCATGTGGGTATTTTGCCGGAAGGCTGGGATCGAACCCATGCTGCAGAGGCTGCTGACTGTTTCACAGTGAGGCACTCAAACACCTGCACCACCAGGGAGGCCCCAGGGCTTTTTTTAAGAAAATATTAAATGAGGCATTTCCACCTGCGTCAACCATGCCATTGGTTTTATGGAGGTCAGTCTAGGATCACATTCTGCAAACGGGCTTCAACTTCAACAAGTGTGCGTTAAACCTTTGCTGTGTGCCTTGCACAGAGCCAGGCACTGAAAACACACTACAAAGAGACGCAATCTTTGTCTCAGGGACTCACTGTTGAGGGAAGAATTGAGGTGCACCCAACAAAATGACACAAGACCGCAGAGTCGGGTGCTTGGAGGCACGCGTGACCACGTGCAGCAGAAATGCAGAGCAGGGGACAGTCGGGAGACAGTGGGCTCTGTGCAGACGTGCCCGGAGCAGGAAGGAGCTCTCCAAGTGGCAGGTTACAAAAGGGCTTCACAGTGAAGCAGGATGGCAGTGGAAGTTCTCATGGGGGAGGTGTGCAGACGTGGGGAGAGCAGCTTGGCTGGAGAGATGGCTTTGCATGGGTGGGCTCAGTGCCAGCTGGATGAAAATATTGTTTTAGGTCAGTATTTAGTCTGGTCTGAAGAAGAAGGATGGTGGATTAAGCTTTGGGGTGCCCTGGCCTCTGAACCAGGGACTGCAACCTCCCCTACCTCACCCCCATTCTATTTCACTCTCAAAGCAGCAGAGACAGGAGGAGGGCACTGACGCACCTGCACACATGTCTTTTCTCTAGTGACCCAGTCTGAGAAGAGGAAGAGTGAAATCCTGCACTCCACCATTATCATGGTCCAGACGGACCTCAAACCCGTGAGCAGGGAGACTGGACGCCTGGGCTGGGAAGGGGCTTGCTTACTTGACACCTCAAGATCGTGTAAAATACAGAGGGGAAGGCAGTTGGGGGATGAGAAGTGAGGCACCCCAACTGGACCCAGGCTGCTGCCTGTGGATTACATTGGGATTCTTCAAAGCCTGAGGAGGGTTTGAGGAGCCGACAGGTGGTTTCTACCTATTTTCTGAGGTTTTTCTGTAGGAAGTGCTGGGGTGTCCTACTGGGATGTGGTGTTCTAGAGGATACTAGTTCTGTCTCCCGAGAGTTCAAATTACAGAGAAGACCTCAAGCGTGTCTGGCACGAGGCTCAAGAAGCCGCCTTTCTACCAAGCTCTGCTGCTGGGGCTGCAGGCAGCAGTGTCAGCCGCCAGCTCCAGGTTATGCAAGAATGAGGGGCAGGTGCTGTAGGTGTCAAGTGGCAGATGATACATCATCCCTAAAAGCAAAGTCCTCAGTCTTCAGAAGATAATGGAGAATAGGGATCTTGAAGGATGGACCCTCAGAACTTGTGGAATTTGTTCCTGGCTTTCCCTACGAAGGCCAGAACATGAGACCTTTCCAGAGCTCAGATCCCACCGCCCAACTCTCCCGCCAAAGTCTCCTGCCTCTTGATGTAAAGTGTGGACAAGTAAACACTTCTGCTTCTCCAGGAGGTTGGCAGGGGCCAAAATGGGTTGGACTCTGGGGCAGCATAGAGAGTGGTCAGGTTCAACCACCGGTGATTTGTCAGCACCCTGACCCTGCTGAAGAGTCACACTTGGACTTGGGGACCCAAGATCTGAGTCCCCTGAAGACAACCCACCCAACTCTGCACTCTGCATCCTTACTTGGAGCCTCAGCGGTCACCCTAGAGGTCCCTGCCGTGCTCCCTCTCACCCTGATCTGTGACCCCACAGGTGAGGAAGGATGTGCTGCGCTTCATCGAGATGCTGGGGCAGCACAAATACCTGGCCCTGCCCCAGAGCAATGCCATCCTCGACTACATGGTGAAGCTCAGCGTATCGGACTCCTTTGTGAGCATGGGTGCAGGTGGAAGGGTGGGGGGCAACAGAGTGGGTCTTGAGGTGGGGGGAGGCTTAGGGGAGGAGTGAGAAGAAGGCAGAGTAGGCAGCAGAAGGAAAACAAGAGGAGGGTGTGGCTGGTGCGTGGGTGGGGAGGGACTTTGGCATCCCCTGAGCAGTGAGCCTGGGAGGTCTGAACCAGGAGGCTCAGCGGGCACTGGTTTCAGAATTAACACCTCTTCTTATTCCAGAATGAAGTGGACATCCGAATACTGTGTTCAAAGATTCTCCAGATGGTACAAGCAGCCAGGGGCAAAGAGGCTGTCCATTTCCTCCGCCCTTGCTCCTCGTTACCCCCCCAGCCCCTAGTTACCCCTCCTGCATCCAGCCTCTTCAGCTTTCTCTTCTCCCCCTCCCCCACTCCAGAAATGCCCACTCGCGTGCCCAGGCTCCTCTGGAGGGTGTCTCAGGGCCAGGAGAGGGCCTCTCCCGGGGAGGCTGGAGACTGCTCTGGAGTCTTCTCATCCCCTTTATAGCTCTAAAATGTGTCAATTGCTGTCTGGGCTGCAGTTTTCCCATCTGTCCGCGAGGGGGGGAACGTGCATCCCGCCTGCCACAGGAGCCTCTGAGGGTTCTTGAAGGCTGGAGGAGCTGATGTGTGGGTCAGAGTCTAGGTAAGGGCTTAAGGGAGGAGCACAGCTGGGATTCCCTCTCTGTCCTGGAGTCACAGCTGCTCTCCTCCCAGCAGGCCGGGCCTCCTGACCCTTCCCAGGGCTTCTGTCCTGGGATGTTCCCCTGTGAATTCCAAATTTCAGGAAACCCTCTCTCTAAGCAAGTCCTTCTGGCTGTGATTTTTATCAGGACCTTGTTTGTAGTTTACCATGACAGAGTGGTGGTGCTGGTGGTGGTGGTGGTGGACGTGGTGTGTCTGTCTGTCTGTCTGTGGCCTGCAGGCCTCAAATGCCCTTGCAGGAAAGAAGACAAGGTTGTGGGTTGGAGAACGTGGGCCCGGGCTTATCTAGGCTTGCCAATGAAACCCTTGCACATCCCTGCCAGGTCTCCTTGCCAAGACTGGTCACCGTAATGTGTGAGCCCAGCAGTGTCTTGGCCTTTGTGCCACTGTGTGAGACAGTCTTGGAAATGGCTCTGAAGGCCCAGTCCCAGGGCAAGACCCCCTACCTCAGCGGCTTTCATCTCACACGTAAGTAGAAGGGTGGGGCACACGGGGATGGGTGGGCTGTGAGCATGCAGGCTGCGGTAGGAGGGGTGCCGGGCTAGGAGGCAGGCGGAGGCTCTGCAGGGCTGGGACAGAGGAGAAGGTGCACATCTGGGGTGGGTGGGGGTGCCACCAGAACCGAGGCCAGGATGGGGAGGCAGCATCCAACAGATGACATGGAGACGCCTTTGGAAGAGGGACATTCCAAACACAATTCCTTCTTGCCTGTCGTCTTTCTTTAAGACACTAGCCAAGATGTAAACACGGTGACATGAACTGGAAAGCTAAGACAAGCCTGTCTCTTGGTTCTTCCCAAGCTCCGACTCTGGGCCCCACTCTCTACTCACCCCATCCATGACTGCTAGGGTTGGGTGAGGATCTCTGCTCAGGCCTTAAGTCAAAACGTCACAAGCCCTAAATGTCGGCGCCTCTTCTCCTCTCCACTTTGCTCTCCTCCTCCTCTAAGTACTGCTGGGGGCTGCCGTGGGGGGGCTGGAGGGCTGTTTGTGCTAAAACTGACCCAAACCGTGTCCTTTGACGTTACCCTCTCTTTCTCTTAGCCACCCAGTTTGTAACCCCACAGAACCTCCTGTCCTGCCTCGTGGTAAGTGACGCTGGAATGAATAGTACATCTCTCTCCCTCCGTCCATGCGTCCATCCCTCCATGCAACCAGCATTCCGCAAACCCTCGAGTCGTGCTCTGTTCTAGGCACTACGCTGGCTGTGGTATAAGGAGGTAGGGCCAAGGATCCAGGGGGCTCCAGAGAAAGGGAATCCATGCCACAGAGCTTGGAGGAGGGAACTGGCAGCACACTGGTGGGGCCTGGGGATGGGGGAGGCGTGAGCATGGGAAGGCTTGACCTGGCTCCTTTGTGGCCTTATTGGGAGCTTCTTTCTGTTGACCTTGGGCAAGTCCCTGCATCTCATTTTCTTGGCAAGTATATTTTGATTTTCTCTATTTGTCTAGACATTATGTGCTCGGTGTTAAAAACACTTAGTACAGACCTGTTATTGAGGTGTTCACAGGATTAGTGGGGGGAGTGTTAGAATAGCATCCATATTTCAGTGTGATAACTGTTCTAATGGAGGAGTACACGTGGCACAATGGGATCTTGAGAGAACAATGGGTTGACTTAGTCTATGGGTGTCAAGGAAGGCATCATTGAGGAGGTGATATTTCACAAGCAGCTTGGAGAATGTGTAAGGGGCTCAGCAGGTAAAAAACAGTGGGGAGGGTCTAAGCTTTAGCTCACATTATGGTTTTGTTCTAATTTTCTTCTCTTCCTTTCAATCCTTCTCTGCATCCTCTTGGCTTCTCTTGTTTCTCAGATGCTTTCCATAAGGCCCTACAGACAAAAGAACATTGGTGCAAGCTCCCTCAAGCTACTACATGCCCTGCATCCTATCACCTCTCTGCACCCCGTTATCAATTCAGATGTGGGCCAGCTGTGGATGAAAGAGATCCCCAGGATGGTTCAGTTCTTGGAGGGTGAGGGGTTGGTTGGGAGGGGGAAGAGAGGGAGATGGGACAGCGGGGCAGACTCCAGAGACCCAAGGTAGAGGAGGGACCAGCCTCCAGATGCCATTTTCAAGGGTCAGCTTCTTTGAACCATGTCTGCACTGAGCAGATGCTCTCAATCCAGAGTTCTGGGGTGCCAGAGTCCCCAGATCAACTCCTGCCCTTTCTTGTGGGTGGAGGATCAGGGAAGATCCCTTGGAGCCAGACAGACCCAGGTTTCTATCCTTGCTCTGACACTGACCGACTGTGTGCTTGACCTTGGGAAAGTGACCCATCTCCGGGGGCCTCTGTAAAGTGAGAGAGCCATCACCGTGTAGGGTCACTATTATCTTGGAGAATGAAACGAGCTGATGGGCACACAGCTCCTGGTATGGTGTTCAAATGTTGGTTTCTTTTTCCTCCTGGTTGGGTGTGTCTGCGCGGTCTTCCCTTTTCTAGAGCACAATGAGAAGACCCTCATTCAGGAGAAGTGGGAGAGATGGCTGCTCAAGGTGAGCCCTCCTGAAGGGGTACCTCCCTCCACACTTGCCCTCTTTCCTTGCTTCAAGATGCCCCAGGCTTGCGGGAGATTGAGGCCATGATCCTCTCCTGCTCAAGAGCCTTTTCTGCTGGTGGGAACGTCTTTCTGTGGCCTCCTAGCCTCCTGGTCCTGCATCAGAGTTTTGGACTCTATTCTATGCCTTGACCACCTACTCTGAAGACCCTACCTGAGGGGCTTAAGGGGGATTGTGTCCATGGACAAGGCTTTGTTGGTCTCAGCTTCTTCATCTGTGAATGGGAATATCTCCTCTGTTGCTAAGATTTACGGTAGTGTGGAAGAGGGCCTTGCAAACTGGAGAGGTTGACCTGACCCATCACTGTCACTCTCTAGTCCTAACTAGCCTCCCTCCATGTGTTTCAACACCTCCCCATTTCTTGAGCTCTTTCTATGTTTTTTGTTTGTTTATTTTTTTGGTTTTTTAAAGATTTGTTTATTTATACAAGAATTGGGGTACAGGCCAGATGCGCAGGAGGGTGAGAAGATTCACCAGAGCCAGAGTGGGGAACAGAGCAGGCAGACTGACTGGAATACACTGTGAGGGGAGCAGTGGGCGAGACAGGAGAGGTCTGTGCACCATGTGGGACCCTCGCCTGGTTGCTGGGGATCGAACCAGCGCTGCAGAGGCTTTGGGCAGCTTCACAGCTCAGCGCTCAACCACTGTGCCACCAGGGGAGACCCTCTTACCATGTTTACAGCCATATCACCTGTCCCTGGCTTCTTTTTGACCCCACTCCCCTGGGGCAGAAAAGCCAGTGTTCTCCGTGGGCCTATTCTCCTTGCCTCTCAGTTTTCAAGTCGCACCCTGGTGGCCATCAATGATGACAAGTGGCTGGAGCACCTCATCAGGGTCATCTTGAAGAAGATTCATTATTTCAGCGAGGCTGATGAGAAGGTGAGTGTGTGTGTGTGTGTGTGTGTGTGTGTGTGTGTGTGTGTTGTCTGCAAGGGGGAGGAATGTTGAGGGTGGAAGAGCCTGGAGGGAAGGTCTATGGACATGCACAGGCCATGCAGGCCACGGGGGGGGGGCGAGCCAGTGTTCTTGGGTCCTGGGATGTGGAGGCCTGACAAGGGGATAGAACAGGTGGTCACCCAGGAACAGCACAAATGTCCAACATTTGCTCAGTGGTTTTGGTTTGATGCAGAACTTTGCTGTCTGTTATTACAATAGAACCTGCCAGCAACTCTGTAACAGAGTGAAGCTGGGACTGGGTGCAGAGGGGAAATTAGTGACCTTAGAGTCACATTTTAGCAAGTAAATTCAAGGACTCTTTGAGGGCGGCCATGGGTGAGGACTGTGCTTGGTGCTGGAGACCCAGAGCTGAGCGAGACAGATGAGGCTCCTTTCCTCGCGAGCTCCAGGCCTGCCGTGTGCCCACGCCCTAGAGCCTGCGAGCCCTTCAGAGTGACCTCGGCCCAGTGTCTTGGTCTCCAGGAGATTTCAGTCACCTCACTTAGGAAGTGGCAAAATGACCTACAGGTTGCAGGAGACTGGCTGAGGATCAAACAAGGATACCTGTGAAGAGGCTCTGACACTCAAAAGGCTAAATAATAAGCCCTATACTTGTGATCCCATCAGACGAACAAAGGAACAGAGTCCAGAGGTCTTTAGAGTCTTAAGCAAATTAAAACTGGGACCTGAATACAAGTTTCTTGATTTCTCATCTGTTTCCTGGCACTGAGCAGCACTGGTTTGGGGCAGCAAGAGGAGTTGTCCCAGGAAACTGGTCTCATTCCAGAGACTGATTACGGAAATGGGCATCGGGATCCAAGTGCTAGGGGACGGGGGGAGACCTGCACTGGAGTTGGGGAACAACTTGTCCTGTGGGGCTGGACAAGCGGCTTTCTCAGAGTTTGCCCACCAGCCAGGTTGGCTCAGGACCATCCTGGTTTTAGCAGCGAAAATTCAGGGTCTGGAAAACGCCTCAGTGCCAGGCAAGCTGAGGCGTGAGAGCATCGGGAAGATGTGGTCTTTTGCGGGCTGGGGAGGCTGGTGCCTTAGAGCCGATTTTGCAGAAGCTGAGCCTGAGGTGGGGGATCTTGTCCAGGAATTGAGCAGGTGGGACATTCTCTAGAGAAGCCAAAATAGAGCAGAGCCAGGAAGGAAGCGCAATGCAGGAGGAAGAGGCTGAGCAAGAGGCTTCTCCACCTGAGCCGGTTGCACTGCAGAGCCTGTTCTGCCTGGGGTCAAGTGCATAAGTGTGAGGGGCCTTCAGACCCACGCCCCACCGCCCACCGATGATCTCTGCCTCCCTGGCTCCTGGCTGCCAGGGTTGGTGTGGAGCAGGGAGGGAAGACAGAGGAGGTAACTCCGGGCAAGGAGATCACAGAGAGGCTGCAGGCTGCAGGGGAACTGTTCTTGCAGGGTCTGCAGCCAGTGAAAGGAGGGTTCCTGTCATCTGGGACCAGGCGCCTCACCAGCTAGAGGGGTAGAAGGTGCCCTTAGGGAGGGGCTTTTAGCAGGTGCATGGAAACCCGGGGAGACTTTCATGGAACAGCGGGGGTATCCTGTTTGCCTCACTCCCATGTCATGCCCTGTCAGCAGGGTTTGATCTCCTTGGAGATGGGAGGTTGGGGCAAGTCAGGAACTAGCCAGACACACACACACAGGAAATGCATGGAGATGAGGCTCTGAAGGAAAGAAATAGGAAAGTGAGCATAAGAGAAACCTCGGAGGTCAGGGAAGGCTCACTAGCCACGATGTCAAGGATGAGAATCTTGGAGCTAAGACATTTTAAAGAGCCAGGGAAAGATTGTTCCAGGCAGACAATACAGGAAATGCAGGCACCTGGAGGCGTAGGAGAGCGGAGAATGCAGACATGGGTGTTTCAAGGCAGAGAGGGCAATGCTTAGTAAGCAAGAATAAAGGCCACTGAAATGCAGAGGCAGGAGAGACCCAGGTTATATAAAAGTACTTTTTCAATTAGGCAATCTCAAAATTTGCAATTTGAAAATTTTGCAAATTTAGGACCTGTTTTTAATTCCTAGCTGGAAGTGAGAAGTATGTGGATCAGGAAAAGTTCCTAGAGGATGATCCCTGCCCTGAGAAGCCGAGAAATTAGAAAGGCAACTCTCTGTCCCTGAGCTGTAGGGTCTCGGCCTTATCTTGTTGCCCCCGGAAAGCTAGAGGGACAGGGTGGAGGAAGGAGAGGTGGGGGCGGGTGTGGCTGCATTTCCGAAGCCAGCCCGGCAGTGGCTGTTCCTAACCTCAGGCCCAGCCAAGCAAGACCCCTCGCTCCCACCTCCCTAGACTTTCCTGTATAAATTCTTCGGCTTCACCCTGTGGTCCTCAAGTGACAAGACATTGGTGCAGATGATGATCACCGCCTTGGTCCTGACCACCCACGAGGACTTGGCAGAGCGGGAGGTGAGGTGGAGGCCGCCGGTAAGGGAGGGACATGAAAAAGAACTATTGCTATTGAAATACCATTGTTATACCACCCCGTCTCGTTTTTTGACAGTGTCGGGTGGGGGACACTTTTGTTCTTAGAGGCAGGGTGGCAGGGTGGCCGAAAGCCTGGGCCTGGCACACTGGGTTGGAAACCCAGCTTTGCTCCTCGCTGACTGTGTTTCCTTGGGCAAGATGCTGACGCTGTCTCTCTGTGTCCCGTGTTTTCTTCTGTAAAATGAGGTTGTGATTCCTCCCTCATAGGATAGTTTCTAAACTATTTTTCATTTTGAAATAATTTCACATTTATTGAAAAGAGAACCTGTAGAGTCTATTCTTTATCCAGGTTCCCAGATGTTAACCTTTCCCGATTCCCTCTCTCATTTTGTGAAAAGTTCATGATTTTCATTTACCACTAAATGTGTATAAATGTGTGTAAATACACGTGATGTGTATTATCTAAAAATAAAGATACTCTGGATGGAACCAGCACCATGATCAGAATCAGGAAGTTAACGTCGCTGCCGTGCTATTCTCTAGTTTGTGCACCTGATTTGAAATTTTTCGGTGGTCTCAGTCATGTTCTTTAGAGCAAAAGAACATTTTTGTTCTCTGTTCTGGGATCCAGTCCAGAACCACACGGCACTTTGCTTGTCTCGTCTCTTTATTCGTCTTTCATCTGGAGCACTAGCTCAGCCTTTATCTTCCGTGAACTTGACATTTTTTTACTTTCCACACCAGTCCTACTGGGGTTGTCTCCTACTTCTTCATGATTAGCTCCAGATCTGCACTTGGGGTGGGCGGGAACCCCACATCAGTGCTGTGTCAGGACAGGAGTTTGAGGATTAACAACGTGAAAGCACTTAGAACCACGCCTGGCACATGATGCCCTCGAAGTGCTGGTTGCTGGTGGAGCTGGTGCCAGCGCTCTCAGGCCTCCCCTCTACCCCCAAGACCCAAGACCTCCCCTGCCAGATTCTCAGAGCATCTGTCACCATGAGCCGGTTGGAAAACAGCTGGCGCTGTGTCTCTGTGCTGGGCATTCCTTTAGCTCTGTGCCCAGTTATCCTTCTTAGGTCAGCCCCAAGAAGAGGCTTGGCTCACACTTCAGTCCAAAAGGCCTTGTACGAGGCAGAGGGATTTAGGTAAAAGACTGATCCTGCCAGAAAAGGCAGCATCCCCAGGTTTCCTGTGCTCTGGGCTCCCAGCAGGTTGTCAATTCCCAGGTCCACACTTCGCCCCAGCTTTCAGATGCACCTGACATTTCTAGTTAGTTGTCCTGCCACTGAGTCACACACGACACATCCAGGAACTCACTGCTTCCTCTTTCCCCAGCCCCAGACAGGTCACCTTTTCCACCTGCCCACTTTACTCAGAGTTGCTGTTTCCCGTTCTCTTGGACTAGAAACGCTGGTGCTATCTGTAAATCTCCCCTCTCTCCACCCCTTCTCCGACTGGCCGCGTGAAAACATGCTTGGTTTGTTCGTCTCCTCCTCTCGCCTCAGAGCAACCCTTCTCTGGGTTCCTCATGCATATACATATTTTCTACTGTGGGATGTCGCGTTTGGAAATCCCCAGATTGTGCAAATCGGTTCCATAATCTTGGCCAGTTTACTCCTTTTTTATTTTTTTAAGATTTATTTATCCTTGCATACAAGAACTAGGGTACAGGACAGAGGTGTGGGGGTGAGAGGATTCACCAGAGACAGAGTGGGGAACAGAACAGGCAGATGCACTGAAATACACTGCTGAGGGGAGCAGCGGGCAAGACAGGAGAGGTCTGCTGCACCATGTGGGTCACCTCCCTGGCTGGGGATCGAACTCGTGCTGCAGAGGCTGCGGACAGCTTCATAGTGCTGACGTTTAACCCCTTGCACCACGAGGAAGGCCGCTAGTTTACTTCTTAGGTTACTTCTCGAAGAATGTTGGTTCTCTGCCTCTACAGTTCAATTCTGGGAAAACAAATTTCCTTTCCATTTCTTTTCTTTCCCTTTTCTCTCCCTCCATCCCTCTCTCTAAACCCCTGGTCCAGGGGAGCACAGCTGATGTCTGGCTAGCAGAGCTGTAGCATGTGGTTGAGGCTGTCCTTCTTACAGGGCATTGCCGTGGCAATCAGTATCGTGGCCACGAGACACCTGAAGGTGGTTCTGGACCAGCTGCAAGTATACTGTGCTGTGCTCACCAACAAGGACACCTCATACATCAACCTAATGCCGAAGGTGATGGCGTTCCCGGGGGATCCGCCAGCTCCCACACAAAGCCTTCTAACACACCCTCATAACCCCAGTCTCCCCGCTTCTCTGAGGCCTTGTGACTCACCTATAAAGAGTTTCTCTTTGGCTCTGATCCATGGTGGGCAGTTTCATCACCCCCACATTTCCCTTGCCCTGAATTCCTGCTGCAGGTCCTGCAAACACCCCTACCCCCAACCATATTTCTCCCTTTCCAGCTGCTCCCCACTCCACGGCCTTATCTTCCCTTTCAAGTCCTCTGGGTAATCTTTTCCTTCTGAACCTCCCTTTCTCATCAGATAAGGAGGAGAAGGTGAGGAGGAGG